CCTGCTCTCCTCCTCCTCCTCTTTCTTGTCCACAATGTCCTCCTCATTGTTACTTGAGGTGGACCGGGGGTCAGACTCCTGCGAGGTATCCATGCTGCGTTTGGGGGTAGTAATGGAGTTTCCACCAAGAATCGCATGCAGCTCATTGTAGAAGAGGCACATCTGTGGTGCAGAACCAGAATGACTGTTCGCCTCCCTTGTCTTCTGGTAAGCCTGCTGCAGATCTTTGATTTTCAAGCAGCACTGCTGCGTGTCCCTGGTGTAGCCCTTTTCCCCCATGCTCCGTTCGATCTTTTCATAGATGTCTACGTTTCTTCGGCTGGATCAGAGCCGTGCTTGCACACACTCTTCTCCTCACAGACCAGTAAGAACCACCACCTCCTGTGTATCCCAGGCTAGAGCGCGTTTGGGACATTGAAGCACTAGGATCAGCTGCGTTGCTGAGCTCTCCATGCTGATCAAACAGGAAATGGGAATTCAAAATTTCACGGGGCTTTAAGAGGGGAGTGGATGTTTCCTGTGTACCTGGCTGCTGTGCAGCAGAGTTGAAAATGATCACCAGATCCGTCACAACAGAGCATTGAGAGACACTTCCTGGAAGCCAATTCAGTTGACATACACACTGCTGCGTCTATATTGCCTCTCTGTTGACCGATCAACATCAAATTAAGTGCTATGCCTCTCGTGGAGGTGGAGTAATTAAGCTGACATAACAGGTGAGTTAGGTAGGCAGAAAGGACCAGTGAGTGTAGACACATACATTATGAGGTTGATGGAAGGCAGCTTCCATCAACCTAAGTTTGTAGTGTAGACCAGGCCTAAGATAGCCCTACCTCTACCCCAGAGCTTATTGTACCTATGCACTGAAAGTCCCCTAGCCTGACTGTAGCAGCCAAAAAGAGTATAGTAAGGGAGAGAGGCGATCAGTCGAAAGGATTAGATTATGAAGGGCTTTTATTTTATTACCACTATTAAGACCTTAACTTGTATCCTTTGCTACATAGCAGCCAGTGTGGATTGCAGACCCCATAATAAAAACCTTGTTTGTTCTAGTGCCTAGAAAAAAAGGAACAAATTCAATAGTTCTGTGCTAGCCTTGGCTCCATATTTCCTTATTTATGGGAGTTTTGTGTCTCTGTCTTACATTAAACTCAGATATTTAAATAATGTTAAATCTGATTATCAGGCCATGGAAGTTGTGCTCCATAATCCAAGTTGTCATTTAAATTTAAAAAAAAATATATTCTAGACATTTAAATGTGAGGATAACCTTCCTAAAGCAACCAATGCTGAAAATATTTGTTTGTCTGTGAACAGCCTGCAATAAGATCTCTGCCCCTCTCAAGTGGGTGTTAACTTTGAAATCTAATTATGTAAATTTCACGGTCAGCTGTTTAAGTATGAACTATTTCACTCCTGATCATACTAATCTGCAGTTAATGTGTTTATCCAACAAACCCAGAATGCCTCCTATATCTTCCCACATTCAAAAGGCCCCAGCTGTCCACCACTTTCCAAGACAGTCATGGTCCCCAACAATTTCTATAAATACTATTTGTCAATACAAAATTCTCCAGTGTATTAAAAACGTAGGGGCAGAGTAACTAGATAATGTTGGGTTTGTATTATTCATTTTCATATTTCAGTAAACAAACACCTAAATTTTAAGCTTATTGGAATCTGCCAAAGAAAGTCCAATCTCCTGCAATGGAGTACTGCAGAATGCAGAGTTCTTGGTGTACAATTTACACAGGTTATCTGTGGAGTACAGAGCCTTCCCTATTTATTAGCCTGAAGGGGAAAGTAATATGAGAAGTTATGACCTCACCCCCAGCTGGCTCTCTGTTGGTACAGGATTTCCCCATGCAGGATCAGGGCCTAAGACTGAAGATTTGTAGGAGATCTTTTAAGGCATTATCATTTCAATTTTTTTTAACGTGTGAAATAGGGTTTTGGTTTTTTTAAAATATATACTAGAAACGTATCTTTTGTGTAAACATTGCGAGGCTACCCACCAAAGTCCACGGTCAAAAATATTGCAACCGTTTAGCCTTATGGTGGACAAAATCAGTTAGGTGTGGAATGGAGGATGTGTCAAAAAATTGTTTGCAGACTTGCCAAAAAATAATAAGGGTGAATCCAAACAATAAACAACACTCTCCATAGCAAGGGGAGAGAAAAAAGGCATCATCATTACCAAGGTGGATTAGAAATTATGTAATACAGCATTGCCAACTCTTGCAATTTTATTGTGAGCCTCACAATATTTGGTTTCAGAGGAACAGCCGTGTTAGTCTGTATTCGCAAAAAGAAAAGGAGTACTTGTGGCACCTTAGAGACTAACCAATTTATTTGAGCATGAGCTTTCGTGAGCTACAGCTCACTTCATCAGATGCATACCGTGGAAACTGCAGCAGACTTTATATACACACAGAGAATATGAAACAATACCTCCTCCCACCCCACTGTGTTTTTCTTAAAGCCCCAGCTCTTGGATTCAGGTGAGTAGGTAAGAATCTCAGCTTTCATTTTTTAAAAAAAGTAAGTTTCTAGTCCCATTGGTTGCAAAGACAAACTTGAAAATATGACCCTTGAAGGCTCCAACACCAAAAGACAAATAAAAAGACCTCAATTGCTATTAAAATCATGATTTTGGGGGGCCTAACATGTAAATTTTGAATTCCTAGAATTAACAACATTGTTAATATAAATTAAAGACCGTCATGAAACTGACCTGGAGAAGAAAATGGAATAATTCTCTTTTTCAATATCCTGAAGTACATAAAACAAAAATAGAAAATATGGGGAAGAGTTATAGGAAAATTAATTAGTTTACAAAGGGCTGGTACCAATGATGAACTATATTTAGTGGTTATTCCCCTTATGCAATTAGTTTCCCTACAATTATCATCCAGTACGTAGGTCTGTATTCTTTTATTACCAGGAGTATAGACGCAAACTTTATCAATGTATTTAAAATGTCATTCACTACAATAGACTCATAAACAGCAGATCTCTTTTTAAGTCAGGGTCCCAAGAGGGAGAAACTACTGCAGGCTGTTCAGACTCAAGCAGACATTGCAGCATTGGTTTGTACTCTCTTCACAAACTTAAATGGCTAGAATATTTTTTAAAGGACAGTTTGGATTATGAAGCACAAGGGGTAGATTCTGGGGCAAATTCCACAGCCTGGTAAGGTTTAGCATTATTTTAGTTTCTCAGTTTAATTTAAAACAGACACACAAAATTCCCATAAATAAGGAAACTTGGAGCCAAGGCTGGCACAAAACACAGAGGTAATCTACCAATATCCTTCACATACCAGCTGGGCTATTGCTTCCAGCTCTGTATTTATCATCTCTCTGAAGAAGCATAATTTATCATTTCTTGGTTTACTCCCGGTAAAAATATAAAACCTTGTTACTTTCTTGGAACAACCATGCTGTCTAGAAGCCCTCTCTTCGATTACTTAATGATAATAGTATGTGAAACAATAAAATTGGTATAATGATACAACCAGTATCATTGACTGCACAGTCCTGTTTGTCACTTTTGACCCACTCCCATGACTACAGATTTAATGTAGCTGGAAAACAGGATTTTTCTCATAAATTTAGTACAAACAAAGGGCCTTTCTTATATTACACTAGTGGGCAGCCAGTCACCAGTAGGGTTACTGTGATTATTGGACCTAAAAATGTACCCTGAGCTCAACTGTGTGAAGTACATAAAAGTTCACAAAATGTAACAACCACCTAAGACTTTTTGCCTGCCTAGGAATTAACCATTGAAAACGGGTCAAGTTGTTTTCAATAAATGAATGTTATGGACAGGTGCAAGAAAACCAAATAGAAAAATTGAATTAGTCCAAATAAAAATGGCCTACTGATATAAGTCAAGGACTGTGGTGAGATATTTAGTAAACAAGAAAACGTGGGAACAAAGTTACCTATGCCAAGTGTGGTTTTACAGAAATAGATTTAATTGGTGTACAAAATAACGAGGATAAAATGTGTCATCCACTGTTACTCCCATTTTTGGGGGGAGAGGGGGTCGAGGGGAGATCTTAAAAAGACACTATCCCCAGCTCATCTGCCAGCTTGCCAGCATTGCAACTCATCTCAGCTGCCTCAAGTCAGAAAGAGCAGATGAGGCTAAGGGACTTTCTTCTCAAGAGGAAAACCAGCTACCCTTATCCTTGTTTAAGGAACTTTGTTTTCATCTGAGAGTGCTGAAAGTCATTGCATCATCATGACATCCAGTCTTCATATCAGTGGGGAATCTCTAATTGCCCCTTCCCTTGTTGTATTGCTTTCTATCCCCCTTCTTTACTCTCTCATTCTCTGGGCTTTTCACTGAATCCTGAAATCAACTATAGTGCATTCATCCTTCCTTGTTAAGGAGAAAGGATCCAATCAGATGACATCCATGACCAGAGCTTGAACCAGGGGGTAAGCAGCAGATGTCATGTTGACTTGTCAGCTAAAGCATCCACTTGTGATTAACCAGCTGTCCAGTCTTCCAAAAATATCCACAAAAGACATGTTTCATCCATTTATTTTCTATCCTGTTTCTACACTACCTTGTCTCTCTCTGTTAACAACAGGATAAGTGAATGCCCTTCACACATCAGGAAGATTATTAATGATGTTTTTACTCTAAAAGGAAGGAGACTGATAGGGTCTGACTAAGTTTGTTTTGTATAATCACTCAACCACAGTTTCAATATAAAAGTTTGTTTTAATTCCTTATTCTCTTTTTTGTTTAATCAATAAACTGTCACCCTGAATGAATGCTTTTGCATGTCTGCCAGTAACCAAGTAAATCCAAGGTTTCTGTGAAAAATAACTCTGAGCCTATCACCGTTTAATGCTGGACAGTGAAAGAGTTTACGAAGATCTTTAACACCTTAGGCCTTTAAAATCAGTATCAATACAACAGGGCCCACTGTTCTAGGTGCTATACAATCATAATAAATAATGGTCCCTTACAATTAATGATACAGTTTTAAAAACTTTTATTTAAATAAACAAAATAAATATTTGTAAAAAATATACTTTAAATAAATCGAGACCACAGCAGTTTTTAAACATAGGAATCCAGCACCACCTTGTGGCCATCCAGTGAAACAATTATTTGTTAGAATCATAGTATCATCCAGTTCAGATTCAGAACTTTTAGTTAATGGATACATTTTGGAACCATCTAGGTTTTGCAAAAACAAGGTTTTACTAACTCTCATAATTTTTTCCATGGTTTTGTTCAGATGTAGTTATTCCCCTCTAACACATACAAACTCACTTATTGCAGGATTGGGTTAACACAGGAAAGCTAGAAATAGTGAAACTGACTTTTTTATATTCAGTGCCCAAGCTGAGTGATATGAGTAGTAAACAAACCATAGAAGTGTTATAAAGTATAAATTTGTAAAGCAGCCTAAGAATAAAGTGCTTTGGAGTGTGTTCTTTCAAGGTTCTCTCTGTCTTAAGACCACCATTTGCAAACCTGTACTCATGAAAAGACTCCTGCTGGGAAAGCACTTACTAGACCAGGGTCTACACTGGTAAAGCCTAATATAAATGTTGAGAAGTACATCAGAAACACAGCTTCACTATTCATACACTGACAAACAGCACTGAGAATAACTTGCAGCCTTATTGAGTATTTGATGTAGTAGGGTCAGATGAGTTCATTCAAGTTGTTCAGAAAAAATTGGATCAAATGCTACTCGCAGGTACACCTATTCACCCCACTGGGAGTGAAGGTGCATTCATGGGAAGTTACCAGGACTGCATGAGTATTACCAAATGTGGCCCACCGTGTCTCTCTTCACACAATCTAAACAAGGGAATCAGAAGTTATCTAGTTTGTTTTAAGTAAGTTTAGCTTGGTAGCCATAACCACGATTGCTTAAGACTCTAGGACTAAAGATGTGTTTACTTTAATGCAGCAAGCAACAGATATGACAGGTTCAACAAATAAGTTGTACCTACTGAAGGCAGAAACTGCAGCTGTTTGTTTCTAACCAGAACACTTTCTATTGCCCAAACCAGAAAAATTCTTCTACCATTCTAACAGTCCAACTTTTTCCATGTGTGAACCATTTTGTAACATATATAATTAATAGAGCCAACCTTTTCTTAAGCCCCCAACGGTTGATAATCCACGTATTTCATTCTGTGCAGATACAAGGTCCAGAGACTGGAGAATAGCTACTCTTTAGCTAGGTTTAGCATACAAATTTCACAACCTTATATGCAATGGACTGGAAAAAGCTTTTGTTGATTTGCATCCTATCCTGGAGAGCTTCTCAAAGTCTTAAAACATTTTACAATCATTTAAGAATTATATGCTTTCAGGCACAAACCCACTTATGTTTTGGCTACTAGAAACAATTGATAGTAGCCAATCACTGCACTGATATTTGAGGAGCAAACATCTCCAGAAGTACAGAACTCTGCGAGTCTTTTCCACATTGACAGCCAAACATTGGGGTTTTTTTGTTCAAGAAGAGCAGAGTCCATATAGCATTCATCAGCATTTAACCAGTTCCTTGCTTGTAGGTGCTGAGACTACTTCACCACACACAAACTGTTCCTAAAAAACCAAAAATGAATAGTGTTATAACTAATTTCCACTGCCACTCCCACAAGCAGTACAATGTAAGATAATTTTGTTTTATGGCAAAACAGTTTTATTATAGGCACGGTTGAAACTGAAGCCTGAAATTAAACTTTCATATAAAAATATGCAAGAACTGATAACATACAAGTTTGTTTAAATAGGCTTGTCACTTAGCTAACTAAAAAACATCATTGCAAATTTGGATTACGGAGGCGTTACAATTAAGGTTGTAACTAGCTTCCTCTTATAAGAACCATTTTATCTACCCTCCTACCAAAAAGGAGTTTATTTTAAGGTATGTACTGACTGGGTAAGAGGGAATTGGGGAAAACAATTAACGTGAATTTTGGAAAAAAATTCTAATTCAATATTTATTTTCAAAGTTTGAAAAATAGTATCAACAACAACTAGCACACGTACATGGCATAGAAACTTCACATTTGATTTATGTGAACTCCTTGACATGATCTAGTCAGCGCACAGGACTGTTTCTGCTAGTTTGAAATATCTATTCACTCTGGGTTTTTGAACATATGCATATATGATTAGATCTCAATGTTTATGAACTTCAAAGCTGTGCTGATGGACGGCTGGGGCAGTGAAATGTGAAACACATAAGAAAACAAAATTTATTTACAATATATGACTTTATCCTTAGAGAGCCCCTTTAATCTATAAAAAAGCACAAAAAAATGCATCTACAATGACTCTTTTTTCTCATGGAAGATCTCCCACCATTGCTGGCAGTGGTGGCAGCATAAATGTAAACTGGCTGTTGGCATTACCACTGTTATGCCACATAATTGTCTGGAACAGATCTAGCCACATGATGGAAAGACTGTCTGCAGCCATCTATACTAACTCTCATGCGGGTGGTACCACTGCAACCACACTGGTTGCTGAAATACAGGTAAGAAATTTCCTAATGTAGGCAGGGCCTGAGCGCAACTTCTCAGGAGACAGTGACCTACCTGGATGAGCCATTTATAGCTACCAGTGGCAGCTGTATGCCTGCAGTCAGATGTCCTGGCTCAGAACATGTCCACACGAAAACAGTGTGTCAACCAACGTGTTATAATTAACATGTTTTTAAACTAGTGTGGAGGTTTAACATCTTCACAAGTGTTTTACACAGTCACAGCTGACCATAGGGGAGCTTGGGGTCCTCTGGGACAAGCCAGCATGCTGTTAATGTGATAAACCTTGATTGGATTTAAAGATGTACCAGACACCTGTTTGCCTCGATGGTGTCTCCCGCTGCCACAAAGCCACTGAGGAAGACAGACACTTGTGTCCCCACGCTCCCGCTCACCCCTAGGCTGGCCCCATTCTCACCTGGTCGTAGATCACCCTCACAATCAAGGAGCAGCTGGGGCAGGTGGCCACATCCTCCCCATTCTCCAAATCCTCCTGCAACAGATCCAGGGACACAGTCATTGCTCCGCAACTGTGCAGCACTACTGGTGTAAGGTTGCATTCCTCCGCCTGAGCCAATGTGCTGCTTGGCTATTATAAGCTTGCTCATGTGAGCTAGAGTGCTCACTAATATTTGTTACCCTCACTCTGCCCTTACTGAGGATTAGCTGCCTTGCTAGTCACAGGGACTAAAGGGAGTAAATTGGAGGGGAGGGATGGGCAGAATCTGTGTGTGTGTGTGGGGGGGGGAACCGGGACCGAATACACAGGAGGATTAAACAGCTCGAGGAAGGAGAAGGAATGAGAGGCAAAATCGGGGACAGGGTTAAGAACCAAGGTGCCGCACTGCCAGATGGTGGCAGAGGAAAACTCTGAGATAGGGAGGGGGAGAGGTGACATTACCCCAAATGGGAGCCATTTGCAGTGGTTACAAAACTACGGCAGGGGGCTGCTGCTCCCACACCCTCCACTTCAGCACCCACTTCCCAATCTATGTTCTTAAAAATTCAGCACCCAATGCCTAGACAAGGCAGCTCTTCCCATCTGATATGATGTACTGATCTGCTAAAGGAGTGAAATATTTTTACATGTACTCTCCTCCAAAAGTTATAATTGTCACACATGTTTAGTGTTTAAAAGAATCTCATATTAGTTTATATCTCTGCATACAGCCACACAGCAGTTCACAGATTATCCTAGCTGCTGTTCTGATTACCTCGGACTGCCTTTTTCTACATTTACAGTGGATTACAAGTTTCACTCCTTTAAATGATTCTTTTAAAATGTTATTTTTGTTACTCTTAGTACTTCATCATTTACCTTTGTTAACACTGTGCAGATGGATGTTACTTTATTTGCTATTAAAAATATAAACAAACACAGTATCAGTGAAAATATTTATAGTTGCTAGTAGCTTTAGCAATCACATCTCACAACATTTCTAGTATTGTGATATTCGTTTTTAATTCTAAATTTGTGTTTCTGTTTTTTTTTATTACACAATTTTATTCTTTGGCATCATGTGACTTCCAGACTGACTGATTTCCTGGGTTCAGTGTCAAAACTTCTTCAGTTTCCTTTGATCTGCCAATGGGGACTGTTTTTGTCAACTGTTATTTGCCTCCCTATTCAGCACCCTAGTGCTTTTTCCACATGTCACCACTTATGTATAGAACGTGGCTCCAAAATAATCACTAAAGGCCAAATTTTTAAAGGTTGAAAGCACCTAGATACCTTTGAGAATCCCCCTAGTAGCCTAAATACCTTTAAAAATCTGGTCCCAATGGCACTGTTCTACCTTGTATGAAATCCTTCTCACAGGCAAATTTTTACTGTTATTTTTATATGCAATATACAATAAAATATACAACCCCAAAATGGATTCTTGTGGCTCTCAATCTAACAATCGTGTTATGCACCTGAAAGTCATGCAATTTAAAAAAAAAACATGAAAGTCATGCAATTTAAAAGAAAAGGCTATTTGCCTTTTTGTTTCTGTGCCTTCAGGGGCACTAGCTTCATACTTGTGCTGTTACCTCTCCCAAAGAATCCATATACAGTAAAAGCTGTTTTATCTGGCATGCTGGGGGGCTGGGGCATGCCAGTAAGTGAAAAACACCAGTTAACTAAGAGGGAGGGAGTTTGGGTGCGGGGCTTGGGCGCAGGAGGAGGCTTAGGGTGCCGGATCTGGGGAGTGCTCACCTCGGGCGGCTCCCTCCAAGCGGTGACCTGTCCCAGCTGCTCCTAGGCGGAGGCACGGCAGCCAACTCTGCACACTGCGCCTGAGTGCTGGCTCCACAGTCCTACTGGCCGGGAACCATGGCCAATGGGAGCTGCATGGGCAACGCTTGCTGGCAGGGGCAGCACGCTGAGCTGCCTGCTGCGCCTCCACCTAGGAGTAGCCAGGACAGATCGAGGCTTGTGGGGAGCTGCCCAAGATAAGTGCTCCCCGGATCTGGCACCCCGAGCCCCCTCCCCTCTCTTGTACCCAAACTCCCTACCAGAGCCCACACCCCCTCCCTCACTCTGAACCCCTCCTGGCCGTTCTTCTGCCCAGGAGCGGCAGGGACAAGTCGCCATTTCCGGGGAGCCACGCGGAGCCAGGTAAGGAGCCTGCTGACCCTGAGCTAACCGGACTATAAACCAAACTTTCTATGAAGATTAGAAATACCAGCTGATAAAACCTTCCGGTTGGTACAGGGCCGGATAACACAGCTTTTACTTTACCTAAAATGGATGTGCATTCCTATAACATTAAATATGGGTTTGGACCTCCAGGAATGTGACCCCCACCCATTGTAACTGAAAATTTATTAAAAATCCTAATTTCTGTAAGTAAACTCCCATCCTCTAAACACTATGGTGCACAATTTACTCTTCTATTACTTCACTTGTTGCATACATAGATGTTGATTTTTCTAGTAGATTATTTATACTTCTAATTGCATATTTCAATTTCACACCCTTTTATGTATGCTACATATTTTGTTATGATACATTTCAGTGATGTTCTTCATTCTGACATATTGACTGTTCTGTACTGCCAAAAATAAAGGATTCTTAAAAAATGAATGATCCCATTACTCTTTTTCATTGAATTGGGTGGGAGGGCATACTGCTGATCTCATCTAGTTTGCTTTTTGGTGGAACTAAAGTGCCTTGTCTGACTCTACACTACGTTTTTACAAGGGGATAGGTAATACATGTTCGTTACCATGGTGGAAAAATACACGTCTTCTTAGCACTGAGGACACAGATTACAATGCTGACTCAGGTGTTAATGAATCATTATTATTCATAGTCGACAACTCTAACACTCAGACGTTCTTGTCAACTGCTGGAAATGGCCCACCTTGATTATCGCTACAAAAAGTCCCTCCCCCCCACCCACTTTCCTGCAGGTAATAGCTCACCTTAAGTGATCACTCTGGTTACAGTGCATATGGTAACACCCACTGTTCCTCATGTTCTCTCTGTATATAAATCTCCCCACTGTATTTTCCACTGAATGCATCCAATGAAGTGAGCTGTAGCTCATGAAAGCTCATGCTCAAATAAATTTGTTAGTCTCTAACGTGCCACAAGTCCTCCTTTTCTTTTGGGGAACACAGACTAACACTGTTTCTAAGTCATCAGAGGTATTTGTCTCTGAATGTCTGCAGCCCCACCCCATTTGTACAGGTGTCACAGATAACTAGTTAAAACTGGGGGGATAAAAATTGATGAGGAAAAGGCCTGAGAAACAAAATCGGAGGGCAGCCTGGTCATACGTTTGTGCCAAAATTACTGCAGACTCTCTGTGGCCTACCCTGCAGTGGAAAGAGGCTAAGGAGGACAGACAACACCTTCCTCCCGGGTTTTACGTACAAGAGCCCCGCGGCTAACTCTGCAGAACGCCTGCCCAAGAGGCAGGAATAGCCTGACTTTACCCGGGCCACGCCGGCCGCAACCCGCCCTCTGCCCCCAGCAGCGCAACGCTCCGCCCCCGGCCAGCGAGCGAGCGAGCGAGCGCGGCAGCCGCGGGGCGCAGCTAGCTCTCAGTAACGGCTACCGCGGGCAGGCCGCGCCGGCGGCCGTTGGTAACGTTTCCCCAGCACTGGGGCGAGGCCCGGCGCGGACCCCGCGCCCCGACCGGGAGAGGCCGGACTCTGTGCACTGCCGCCCCGCGCTCCGTACCCGGGTGATGAGGAAGCGGTCCCCGCACGGGCACGGGTAGCTGTATGTCTCGGTCTCCTCATCGTACTCAAAGTCCTCGATCTCCACCTCATCGTGAAACACCGACATGGCCCCACGCCGCCGGCGCCTCTCAACTGCGCATGCGCCGTCCCTTTTCCCCGGCACTTTTCCCCGACAAGTACGCCGCCAGTCCACTTCCGGGCTTGCTCGGCTGTGTGCGCCAATAGCCTGTCAAGCCGGAAGCGCACTGCGCGTGCGCCGGAAACCGTTTTCCGGCCGGCCACCGCTCATGCGCCATTCACGGTCGAGACGGCGGGGTATTTCTGCCACAGCCCTCCGCCACATACGTCACAGCCAGCGGGGAGCCAATGGGGAGAGAGCAGGGCTTGCCTCAGAGCTAGCGGGGGGGGGGAAATGGGGCTGCCGCTCCCCTGTGAGCGCAGCTTCAGGGGCGAGAACAGTTATTCCCCCCAAGCCCCCCGCCCTGGGGCGCAGCTTCTGGTGGGGCAGGCGGTATTTCGCCTGCGCTTCGGACCACGGGTCCGTAGGCGCCAAGGCGAGCGGCGGGGGCGTAGCCTTGATCACGTGACTATGGCACTGGCGTCGCGGAAGGCGGGCGCCCCATCACGTGATGCGGATGCGCCGCCGGTAGGGCAGCTGGGGTGCCGGGTGCACGTGCGCGGGCGGGCGGTTGCGGGAGGAAGGGGGAATGAGTGAGTGAGTGGCCCGCGTGAGTGTGAGCGCCAAACAGTCACGCAGCGGCCGCGCGGAGAAACAAGTCCCCGACTCAGCCGCCGCCCCGGCTGAAGAAGAGGCAGAGGCTTGGCTGGGCCCCTCTTCTCTGTCTCCGCCCGGGGGGAGGCCCAGGCGGCCGGGACCTGCTGAGGCAACCAGTCCCTGGTGCGGGCGGAGAAGCGGAGCAGGGCCTTGCCAGAGAGCGAGGGACGAGAGGTGCGTCGTGCCGCACTGAGCGCCCAGAGCGGCGGCGGCGGGGCCTGGCCTGGCGCGGCGCGGGAGCCAGGGACCCCCCAAACCCGGGCGCTGGGCCCGCGCGCGCCGAGCTGCGTGTGAACGGCGCCCCCCTGCCCGCGACGCTGCCCTGCCTGCGCGGCGCCGCTGAGCCGGGCCCGGGACTCCGCCAGCAGAGCGAGCAGGGAGGCCGGGGGGTACATTGGGCCCAGCTGTCAGCGGGAAGCTAAGGCGGCCGGGTAGGACCCGTGCACTTCCTGCGGGCAGTGCCCTGCTCAGGGGGAAGGGGCGGAGTTAGTTTGGCCCTAGCTTTGGTCGGATGTTTCCTGTGCCGCAGGTTCCACCAAGCGTGACAGAAATATAATACAGGCAAATAGCGATATCGGTTCCAAAAGTGACATTCGTAAGTGGGTGTGAGTGGCTGAAAGCAAATGTTCCCACGTGATGCTACAACCTAATCTAGCGATGTTGGTCCCGTATAATGGGTTGCACACATGTATACACATACATAAAACCTATTGCTTGTATATGCTCATTAACAGTGACAGCAACCAGTTTTAGGATACCTCTAAAATAAAAGTTTGCAATTATGACTCTTCTATAGAAGCAACAATATGTTTTTAAGGCCCTCTTGTTATGCTATTAAGAAAGAGGAAAAGACGACTGGCAGCTTTTTGTAGGTACAGTAGAATCTCAGTTATGAACACCCTGGGAATGGAGGTTGTTCTGAAATAATTCTGAAATGTTCATAACTGAATAAAACATGGTTCTTTCAAACGTTTACAACTGAAAATTAACTTAATATGGCTTTGAAACTTTAGGGAAGAAAAATACTGCTTGTAACCGTCTTAATTTAAATGGAACAAGTACAGAAACCGTTTCCTTACCCTGTCAATTTTTTTAACCCCCTCCCCCTTTTTTCAGAGTAGTTTATGTTTAACACAGTACTGTACAGTATTTGCTTTTGTGTGTGTGTCTGCTGCTGCCTGATTGCCTGCTTCTGGTTCCAAATGTGGTGGTTAACTGGTCATAACTTCACCGTTCATAACTGAGGTTCTACTGTATATTGTTTTCTAACAGAACATTAGTGGAGTGAAATTTATAGTAGTGCACTCTGCAAACATATTTTACTGTCATCTTCTAAAATGGCTTGCTGTCCTTGAGAAACTTGATACTGTTTGGAAAAAATATATATGCTTACCGTGGTCAAACAGAATTTTAGCCCTGGGTGAGTGGGCCAGGAGCGAAGCATCTCCTGAGTTACTTGCTCCGTTCTTAGAGAGGGAGCAAGCAGACTGGGTCCACTGTAGTGCTGTCCTGAGTGGAAGGAGAGGAACAAGGAAGTAGCACCACATCTCTAATAGGATGGAGGGGGAAAGGGAGGAATAGAGTGATTGGAACTGCTGCTGCTTTTCTTGGAGGGAAGGGAGAGGAGTGGAAATGGGAATAAGGAATGGAACAGTTCAAATGAAGAGGTGCTGGGCAAATGAAAGCCCTCGTGCCCATCTAGGAGGGCAGTAGCTCCAAAATAACGTATTTTGTAGAGTGCTTATTGTCAGAGCACTTCATAATCTTTTGTTTAAAGATGCACTGCAAAAACATTCAGTTTGTCTGGTTTGTTTTAAACAGTTGTGGTTTGAATGTGTTTGTTTCCCTTCAGTAGTTTGATAAAGTTGAAGCTAAATCTTCTTTCCACCTTTACTTGATAGTGCTATGGTTCATTAATAGGTAGGGGTGGTTGTCCTTAATTCATTAATGGGAACAGAAAACGTCCAGAAGTAATTTCTAGGGTGGAATTTCTAGCGCAGAATTCATTCACTTAGGGAGAGGAACTCAAAACTCATTTATAGGAGAGTTTGGAATTTATTATAGGGTGATGTGTTAGAATTGATTTAGTTGGGGGTGGGAATTGATTACATGGCAATGTAAATTATGTAGGGGTAGCTTTGAGGGAGCATGCTTGGCGGAACAGATTTTTTTCTACTAACTAGTAGGGCTTAGCCTTGGTCTGTGCTACCAACTTATGTTGGTATAACTATGTTGCTCGCAGGTATGGAAAATCCTCATCCCTGAGCCATGCAGTTATACCGACCTAACTCCAGGTGTAGACAGCACTATGTGAGCGGGAGAACATAGCTACTGCCTTTTGCGGAGGTGGCGTACCTATGCCAATGGGAGAAGCTTTCCTGTCGGTGTCACAAAGTGCTACAGAGGCGCTGTAAGTGTGGACAAGCCCTACGGTCATGTTTACACTACCACTTGTGCCGGCAAAACTAATGTTAGGGGTGTGAAATAGAACACCTCCTGAGCGACTTAAGTTTTGCTAGCATAAGTGATAGTGTGCATAGTGCTATGTTGGTGGGAGAGCTTTTCGTTGTGGTTTTATTATGTTGACAGGAGAGCTCTCTCCTCTTGACGTAGAGTGGCTACACGAGTGATCAGTACAGCTATGCCTCTACAAGCTCGCTGGTGTAGACACGGTCTTAGTCTTTAGCTGACTATTGTGTGTGCTAAGGGAATCTTTCAAGCCCTGAGTATTACAGCTCTTACAGCAAAACTCAGTCTATTTTTTTGTGTTCACTATAATGACTTACTATTCAGCTCATGTTTTGGCCTTGCCTTCCCCCATTTTTAAAGTCTTAGTTTAAAGATAAAAACCACTCCCCTCTTGAAGGAAATGGCACTGTCAAGCAGGGCTGGCCTTACCATGAGGTGAACTGAGGCGGCCGCCTGAGGTGCCAGACTGTGTGGGAGTGCCACTAGGACCCAGGGTGTAGAAAATTGTGTCTGCTGCTGGTGCATATGTACTCTCTCTGCTCTAGATGCACAGAGATGGTGGAGTGCTGTGCTGGAGGAAGGAGGGCACAAGAGACATAAGAGGCAGGCAGGAGAAAAGGTGAGAGGGAATAACAAAGCAGCAGGAGTTGCAGGGAAAGAGAAGGAGGAGCCTTTTATGTACCTTTCTAGCACCCCAGGAGCCTGGACTGATTAACACCAGCTTCTCAGGGAGTTTCCTGTTTCCTGCTGCTTCCCTGAACCCACTTGAGGCGAACAGGCAGTCAACTGAAGTAGCAGGAACCAGTTAGGCCGTTAAGACGCTGATATCTTCCCTCACTCAGGCCCTGCTACCAGCCTGCTTATTTGTCCCCTTTAACTGAGTGTTGAGAGCCACTATAGCTGGCACAGAATAGCAGTCATGAGTGAAAGAAGAAAATGTCCCTCTGGGGCAGGATTCAGAAAAAGAAAGAAAGCAAAGGAAGCTTTTCTATCTAAGCAGGAAGGAACTCTCCTGAGATACATAGACACAAATGTTCACGGTGAGCCTTCTGGCCCCAGTGAGGATGTGAGTGGTGAGGAGATGCCTGATCTTCCAGTTAGAGCGCAGGTGACCTGGCAGCTACTGCAGCATCTGTATCTCCATCTCAAATGGATGTAACCATGCAGATTCCTGAAGAAAAGTGTAGATCAGAGAAGAGTGTGGTGGAGGTGCAAGAAACAGCTGCTGCTGAGTTTAGTTCCTTAAGTCTAAATGATCCAGGACTGTGGACCCACTTGAGCAGTATCCTGAGGGACTTCCTTGTACTGCATGGGCCACAGCAAGTGAAAAACTTCATGTTCCCGAAAGACAATGAAAATAGAAGTTTCCATCCAACACGTTACTGGTGTGAAATCCCTAATGGTGACAGAGTGGAGAGGCCATGGCTTATGTACTCAAAAACCCAGAATGCTGCATACTGTTTTTGTTGCAAACTCTTCCAGTCTAATGTTCCAGCCACATTGGGTTCTACAGGAACAAAGGACTGGAAAAATCTGGCTAGAAATCTGGCATGCCATGAGAAGGCAGCAAATCACCAGAGAGCATTCCATAGGTAGAAAGAGCTTGAGATGAGACTAAGGTTAAAGGCCACCATAGATGATCAGCATCAAGAGAAGATTGCATCAGAGTCTCTTTACTGGCAAAATGTTCTGAAAAGGCTCATTGTCATTGTGAGAGTGCTTGCTACCGAAAACCTAGCACTGCGTGGCACTTGAGATCAGCTGTATGTGCCAAACAATGGAAACTTCCTTAAAACTGTGGAGCTGATGGCTGAGTTTGATGCAGTACTCCAGGAGCAACTAAGCGGAGTCACCACCCAAGAAATGTACGCACACCACTACATTGGAAAAACAATTCAAAATGAGATCATGCAGTTACTGGCAACAAAAGTCAAACAGAAGATTGTGGCAGATCTGAAGTCAGCAAGATATTACTCGGTTATTCTGGACTGCACACCTGACACGTGCCATATGGAACAAATTACTTTAATGGTGCGTTTTGTAACAACAACAACAGAATCTACTGAAAATGTCCTTGCAATGGTGACTGTCAGAGAACATTTTCTAGAATTTATTGACATTGATGATACTACAGGAGTTGGTATGACAAATGTGCTTCTTAAAAAGCTGGAAGATATGGGAATTGCGATAGCTGACATGAGAGGTCAGGGCTACGATAATGCTGCCAACATGAGAGGAAAGAGCAGAGGAGTGCAGACACGCATCTGAGAGTTAAACACTCGAGCTTTTTTTTGTCCCATGCAGTTCTCATTCATTGAACTTGGTGGTCAGTGATGCAGCATCAGCTTTTAATGAGGCTGCTGAATTTTTTAATGTAATTCAAAGCATCTATGTATTTTTCTCTGCATCAGCTCATTGATGGCAAATTTTGAAGCAACATTTGGGAACATTCTCTCTGACACTGAAACCACTGAGTGCCACACGATGGGAAAGTCGAGTGGAGGCGATAAAGCCTATCAAACACCAAATTGGGAAGATAGATGATGTCATAGTTACCATTATGGAGGATAATGCTATGACAGGAATTGTTCATGGGAGGACAGTGGCAGAGGGCAATGGAATCACCAGAAACATACGTAACTTCAAATTTCTGTGTGGCTTAGTGTTGTGGCATGACTTACTGTTTGAAATAAACGTTGTAAGCAAGAGACTCCAAGGTGTTGACCTTGATATATCTGGAGCAATGGAACAACTGGACAAAACAAAGTCATCCTTACAGTCTTACTGGTCAGATGAGGGATTTCAAAATGTTCTGAAGAGTGCACAGAAGTTGGCAGAGGAACTTCACACTGAAGCTATTTTTCCACCAATTCAAGAATACAAGAGTCACCGAAGAAGAAGACATTTTGATTATGAGGCATGGGATAATCCCATAAGAGATCCCAAACAACAATTCAAAGTTGAATTATTTAACCAGGTGCTAGATTGTGCAATACAGTCAGCTGAATGTTTCATGCAGCTCAAGGGACACAGCAGTATATTTGGGATGTTGTATTCCAAAACTCCTCACTATACCTGAAGAAGACCTACACCAGCAATGCAGGGCACTAGTCAGTGTTAACACATAATGACATGCATGATATTGATGCGAGCGATTTAGGTGATACATTTCAGCAGGATCAACTCCAAAGGCTGTTCTGAAATATATGTGCACAAATAAGATGACTACCCTCTTTCCAAATGCTTTTGTTGCGCTGCGCATACTTCTAACACTTCCTGTAACAGTTGCCAGTGGAGAACACAGCTTCTCCAAGCTGAAGTTAATAAAAACACATCTATGCTCCACAATGACACAGGAGAGACTGGTCGGCCTTGCAACCATCTCAATAGAGCATGAGCTGGCCCAGACTGTGGACCTTCAGGAGGAAGCAGTTCAAATCTTTGCAACCAAGAAGGCACAGAAAGCACTACTTTGATTATTCAAACAGATAAAAATGCCAGTGTTTTTACTATGCAGACAAGAAAAGTTACGTTTGCTGTGCAGGCATTTGAAAATTAATTGTTACTTAAAATTTTTGAACAAGGCATTTGAAGTTGTTAGTTCTCCTTTATTGGGACAGGTAGCAGAGGAGTACCATGAGAGGAGTAGAACAGGAAGAAGGCAGAATTGAGACCTTTCTAAATTTTGGCCCAAGTGAGGGGGCATGGAAGCATCAATTTGAGCTCCCCGCCTCAGGTGCCAAAATGTTGTGGGCCGGCCCTGCTGTCATTTAAAGGTGGAAAGAAGGTTAGCTTCAATGTTATCAAACTACTGAAGGGAAGCAAGCACATTCAAAACACAACTGTTTAAAACAAACCACCCAAACTGAATCCCTAAAAGTAAGTTGCAGTGGGATTCTGAAGTTAGGCCATTTACCAGCAGATGTTGTTATGGTTAGTAGAACTGGTTTTTAAGGATATTGGAGGATTAAACAAGAAGCATCTCTGAAAAAGGACAGTGATGTTACTTGTTTTATATTTTTGTCGATTATGTCAAAAAGCCTTAGATATTCTGATATCCGTTATTAACAGTTGGCTGTTGATTTTCTGAAATGTACTTAGCATCTTTGCTATTGTGGTGATGTCACATGATGTTACAGTTATCTGCCAGTAGCAGGGTTTGAAGTTAAGGGAAAAAGCTAACTGCTGTCTATTCCAGTCTTTTCCTATGCTGATGTATTCCAGTCTTTTCCTATGCTTTTCTTTTTGCAAATACAGACTAACACAGCTGCTACTCTGAAACCTGACGTATTACTGTGGCTCTTTGGCAATGTACATTGGTAAATTCTGGCTGCTTCTCAGGCTCAGGATGGCCCCTGTTCTAAATCATATACTGCAGGAAAAAGTTTTGATAAACCATTGTTCAGTTCTGGTGCCTTATGACAAGACACTTTTATAGAATCCTATATTAAAAAGTTGCAGTGAACTGTGCAGATAAATGCTACAAAGTTATCACTAATTGAGAAATGTTAAAAGTAGCAGCAGCAGCAAACACTTCTTAAATCTGAAATTGGGCATTTTAAATAAATAATAAATGCATTCTATTTCTGAGGGATCTACTTAAGAAAGCTCTGCCTTCGATTTTCACGAGAGTATAAACAGGAGACTTTATTCGGTAACCAGCCAATGCAGTTCTTAGTGAAAGCCTAGGAACATACAGTATAATCAGTCAGGCATACCGGATTGTTGCCATTTTAAAGAATTCACAGTGGAAAAAAAAATCCTTTCTAAAATCAATACATAAATCCAGTGTATGTCAAAGTAAGATTTTTAAATGTGAATGAGAGATTAAGAATACTTGTAGAGCTGCAGGAGGCTGCAACATCAGTGAAATGCATCCTGAAAATGAGATCATGAGTTATGGTAATCCAATCTCAAAAAAAACAGAGGCATGTACTAACAGAAAGACATATTGGTTCATTGGGGACCTAATGCTGAAAGTGAAGCCAAGGGAGTTTCCTAGTTTGTTTTCTTGTACTATTCTTGATCACTTTGCTTTTGTCTGGTCGGTTGGTGCAGCTGCTTGTTCAGATAGTAGGTGGTTTTGAATCTTAAAAGCTATATTCTCACCGTATTATGTAACTGTCTGCACCTTCAGATGAAAATGTACTGCTCAGGCTTTTATAAACATGAGTCTTATTGAGGATATACAAATCACTATAGTGCAATATTATGCTTATTGTATCATCATGCTGTACATTCATCGTTTTTAAAGGTAATTTTTGAATCGTTAGGAAAGATCAGGGTGTGTGCAAGTGTCCTAGGCACTTTGCTTTATAAGCTTTCCCTTGCTGTCCAACCAGTATGCCCTCAGTGATGACCTGGAGGGACGACTTGTAAGGGTGAGAAGATAGTTGTCTCCGTGCCTGTTCAATTCTTTGCTATCTTTGATATTACAATTTTGGTTGTGATTTTTATGCTCTGGGCACCTGCCCCTTGGGAGCGAACTGTGACCAACCCATTCCACATGGACGGCTGAATGAAAAAAACTTTAAAAAAAAAAATTAACTAGTATTTGATGGATATAAAATATATACTCAAAATTAACTATGTTCATAGTTTAGGATAAAGGGGAGATGTTTACTGGATATTGGAGGTTTTGAACTGTTTTCAAACCTGATGCCTGTTGATTTACAGATGAAAGCAATCAAGTTGAATAATAAGAAACTGTTGAATAATTATTTTAAATTGAATTTTTTCAGGAGCTGGTGACTTTGACCAGGGAACACCATGGCCCACACTACCATTTTTGCTGTTCCTCAGTTACTGAGAGGTACTGCTCGAATTTTCCCCACTCTTTCTGCATTGTTACGGTTGAAGTACTCTGCTTTGTTACACTGCACAATGAATGGGTAGGTTATCAGTCTCCAAACACGACTAAATATTTTGTTTTTAAAGAGATTGTGATGATAAATGTCATGAGTGTCAGAGGCTGAACAAACTTTAAAGAACTATAGAAATACTCTATCAATCACCTGGTTGTATTTTAAAGACATTAGTAAATAAGGCTGGCTGTCAAACAAGAATTCCATTCACAAAAAATGTTGAGGTGTTCAAACTGGGTTTTTGAAATCTTTCAACAATTTTTGTGAAAAAACATGAGAGGGAGACATGAATAACCTAGTGCTTAGGGCACTTACCTGGGTTGTGGGAAACCCTGGTTCAAGTCCTTGCTCTGCCTGACCCAGATGAGTGCCCTAACCACCAGGCTATAGAGTTAGTCTCTGTCTATCTCTACTATTAGAGTTGTTCCATTTTGTATAACTAGGTAAATATTCATGGACAAGAGGTTCTACAGCCCAGTGGTTCTCAACCAGGGGTACATGTACCCCGATGGTACTCAGAGGTCTTCCAGGGGGTACATCAACTCATCTAGATATTTGCGTAATTTTACAACAGGCTAGATTAAAAGCACTAGCGAAGTCAGTACAAACTAAAATTGCATACAGACAGTGACTTGTTTATACTTCTCTATTTACTATATGCTGCAATGAAGTATAATGTTTATATTTCAGTTGATTTTATAATTATATGCTCAAAATTAGAAAGTGAGCTATTTCAGTAGTAGTGTGCTGTGACACTTGTATTTTTAGGTCTGATTTTGTAAGCAAGTAGTTTTTTAAAGTGAGGTGAAACTTGGGGTACACAAGACAAATCAGACTCCTGAAAGGGGTACAGTAGTCTGGAAAGGTTGAGAGCCACTGGTGGTTAGGGCACTCACCTGGTATGCAGGAGATCCAAGTTCAAGTCTCTGCTCTTAATCAGGCAGAACGTGGACTTGAACTTTGGCCTCCCAAATTACCGGTGAGTATTCACCAGGCTTGGTTGTTATGGGGTGTGTGTGTGGATCTCTCTTTCTCTAGTTGTGACCAGAATTTCCACCCTGGACCAGAGAAACCTGTGTGATGAAAGTTTTGTCAAAACAAATGTTTCTGTGAAAAGTTTTGTTTTTGGAAAACGAGTATTTTCTGTTGAAAATTTCCCAACCAGCTATTAGCATTCTAAGATTAAATCTGAGGTGAGATTAGTGTCTGACTTCTTTTAATTTTTGTTTAAATTAACATTGTGTAGAATGGCAGATTGATTAAAGTGGTTACATTGTCAATAGAAATTTCTACCTTTTAAGCGAAGCACTAATACTTTGCAGTTGCAATAATGATGTTAATCTTGATTTGCTTTTTGTTGAAGCACAATGAAATCCAAAAGGAAAACAGATCATCTGGAGAGAACGGCAAATAACTTTCGACAGGAGGTTAGTGTTCTGTTCTACAGAAGGGAAATATTTTTTTTGTGTTATGAAGAGACTAGATAATCCTATTTGATGGTGATTAGGCTTCTTTTTTTTCTATATGAGATTTTGTGCCATTTGTCATTTTTCTTTTTTGTATTTATATTACGAAGACACTGTTATAAAAGGGCATGTTTTCTTTTGGATGGGTGAAACAAAATGATGTTAAAGAATCAGTGTCTGTCATTCCTTTTTGACATGTTTAATCAGGAATTAGTTGTCCCCTAGTTCAGTTTGGATTGTTTTAGTTAGGGAAATCTTAGGCACTTATTGTTTTGTAGTACCATCATTGATACATAGGCTTTTAAGGAACCATGCGATTTTCCCCTGTTTTTAATTTTATTTTCTAGTGTTTTAAAGGTTACCTGGAAAGGAAGAAAAATAGCTCTTGCCTTCTTATTTTATGATGTATAAAGAAGGGCTGAAAAATTCAGAGATCATTTGGTGAGGGAAGGATTTTTTTGCTTCTGTTAGGTTATAAATGTAAGGAATGTCAAGTCTTGTCCTTCGTCAGAACCAAAGAACATCTTCAAAAGGTATCTGATACGTACAGTAACTCCTCACTTAATGAAACATTAACTGGGACGTCATTATTAGGTCGTTGGTCTATTAGAGAACATACTCCTTTTATGTCCTACAGTGTTCCCTTAGAATGTTGTTTGGCTCCCGCTGCTCCGCCCACCCGGTGCTTCTGCTGGGGAGTGGGGAGAGAGCACGGGGGCTTGCCCCATTCCGCCTTCCCAGCGCTCCTGCTGGAGTCCACTTGCCCCGACTTCACTCCCTGCTGGAATGCTGGGCAGGCGGAGTGGGGCAAGACCCCATGTCCTGACCCTGCTATGCCCCTGCCTCAGCCAAGCTTCACAATCGTCATTGGTGGGTACAGTATTACATGGTTTGTTTAAAGTTATTTAAAATTTATACAGTATATGTATATAATGTCTTTTGTCTGGTGAAAAAAATTTCCCTGGAACCTAACCCTCCCTGTTTACATTAATTCTTATGGGCAAATTGGATTCGCTTAAAGTTGCATTTTTCAAGAACATAACTAGGATGTTAAGTGAGGAGTTACTGTATTGTGAACTTCCCTATACTTTGATTTAAGGGATGAAAGTGCTGTATCTTTAACATACAATTTTTTTCTTTTGTTTGTAATAAATTAGTTTAAATAAGTTAACAAAAGAGTTGTAAATATTCTGAATATAAATAACTTGCTTTCTCCATTAATAAGGTTTCACTACTAAAGTGATTCTACATCCTTTTTTGAATTTCAATGTGTCTGGGAAGTGGAGGTGTGTTAAGGGATGGGCATTGGTTAGCTTGAAGAGGGTATGAAGAACTGTGCAGGGCAAGTAAAGGAAGGATGGTTCAGTGCTGCGACCTCAACTTTCTGGAACATCTGGGAAATTTTTCTCCCATGCTGAATTTATTCTTAGTTGTTACATGTTGTCACTTGATTTCTGACCGGTTAGAAACTGGTCAGTTCAAATCTCCTGTTTAGCTGTATATCCTATGTAATTCGCTTCCGTCTCCACATTACCTTGCTTGGTTTTTGTAATCCTTTGGAAAGATTAGTGTAGGATATTTGTGTTGCAGTAATGTGGATGAGTACACTAACTATCACATACTCAAGGATGTAGCATAAGTAGCAAGTGCAAGAAAGAGGAGCTGAAACTTTGTCCTCCTTCAGTGAAATCCAGATTAAAAGACCCAGACATTCTTTTTTTTTTTTTTTCTTCTGCCAAATCTTGATCTGGGCCAGTTGGTTACTCTTATGGATGGTGAGAATCTTCTTTGAAGGTCCTTGATCACCCTACATCAAACTTAGTTTTTTGCACCAACTTACTACTGAATAATAATTAAAATTCCAGTGTTTTGTCAAAAAGGCCAAAGAACAACTCGGGGGGGGGGGTGTTGGGGAGGGAAGGGGAGAAGGGATGTCAAAAGTGTGTGCACATTTCCTGCACTAAGACCTTTACATAGGAGAAACATTTAAATAGCCTACCTGACACTTGTCTCGTTAACCAGTGTGACTGCATTTCCTGTTTAATATTGTCTATTAAAGTGGAAAAGAAAAGTACACTACTCTAATTTTGTTTTAAGTTGGCAAGTGTTCTGTTCTTTTACTGGACAGTAGACATGTTCAAATGTTGTTTTATGGAGAAATTCATTTCCTGTCATGTGTTTTAAATCAGAGCAAGACTGGTTAAAGTTTCATTTGTTAAATTATTTGATCTCGTACAGATGAGAAATGGCACAATCATGTGTTATAGGAAACATCAGACTGGGAGAGCTATTGTAGTAGATGGCATTAAACATTTTTAAAATGCTTTACAGCCTAGGACATAGACTGGCCTATTTACTAAACTAGTTATAGTAATTCTGTTTTGCTGAATTTTCAACAATAACTAAAAAGTCTGTGGGGGAAGGAGGATGGACAGGTATCATGCAAGTTAGCTGTTAATATTATAAAACAAGAATTGTATGTTTTGATACACATTGCTGACAGTCTGTTTGTATCCCTGTATTATTGAACATTAGTATGATTGATTGTTTTATCCTGTAGATCGGGGCGGGCAAACTTTTTGGCCTGAGGGCCACATCAGGTTTCTGAAATTGTATGGAGGGCTGGTTAGGGGAGGCTGTGCCTCCCCAAACAGTCAGGTGTGGGCCAGCCCCCGCCCCCACCCAACCCCCCCTGTTCCCTGTCTTCTGATGGCCCCCCTGGAACCCCTGCCCCATCCAACCCCCCCTCTCCTTCCTGACTGCTGCCCCCATTCAACCCCCCTTGTTCCCCACCCTCTGACCACCCTGACCCCTATCCACACCCCTGACCACCACTCCGAACTCCCCTGCCCTCTGTCCAACCCTCCTGCCCCCTTACCAGTAAGGGTTCAGCATTCAGGAACATCTTAAGGCTGCCCTCCCTGGGACCCTTTCTACCACCCACTTTGTTTTCCAAGTTTTGCTCTCTGTTGTGAAAAGGTAATAGAAAAAGAGTCTAGCAGATCAGCTCATCTTCTCTAAGAGTTGGCTTGTGCAGTACCCCTCACAGGAGCTGGCAGGGTAGCCTTCTCTCTGCCTTGTAAACAGCTCTCACCTTCTGAGCTGTTCGGCTTCCTTTTAAGCTCCACCTTAATTTGGAGCATGCTCTGCCGCTGCGGCTGGGCTGGGTCATCAGAGCACAGAATTGCTCTTTAACCCCTTCAGCTCTTGTATGAGGTTTCCCATCACACAGAGAAAAAGTTTGGGAACCACTGGTGGTAGCCCCAAATTCACCAAAGATCACCTAACATCCAATTTAGCAAGCACAGTAATAGTCCCATGAAAACTGATGGAACAAGTACCTTGCTGAGTCAGGGCCATAGTGACTGTTTATAGTAGTTCCATTTTAGAGATTTTTGGATATCTGAAAAGAGTCTTTATTTTGAAGATTACGATTTCCACTGTCATTCAGTTCACACTATTTGCGGTGTGTGAATGTTGTACATTATAGATGTTCAGTAAAAATAGCCAGATGGGGATAATGTTGCACGTTTGTATCTAGATCAGGGATGGGCAAATTTTTTGGCCTGAGGGCCACATTGGGGTTCCGAAACTGTATGGAGGGCCGGGTAGGGAAGGCTGTGCCTCCCCAAATAGCCTGGCCCCTGCCCCCTATCTGCCCCCTCCCACTTCCTACCCCCAACTGCCCCCCTCAGAACACCCGACACATCCAACCGCCCTTGTCCCCTGACCGCCCCCTCCCGGGACTCCTGCCACTAACCGCCACTCTCGAAACCCATCCCCTATCCAACCCCCCCAGTCGCCTGTCTTACCCGACCCCTATCCACACCCCTGCCCCCTGACAGGCCCCTCAGGACTCCCATGACTATCCAACCACCCCCTGCTCCTTATCCCCCGTCTGCCCCTTATCCAATCCCCCCACTCCCTACCACCTTACCATTCCATTCAGAGCATCAGGACTGGCATCCGCGCCGCCTGGCTGGAGCCAGCCACACTGCTGTGCAGTCTAGAGCACTGGGGCAGGCCGGCGGCTCTCGCAGCCGCACTTCACGGCAGGAGCTCGCAACCCCACCACCCACAGTGCTGGCTGCACGGTGAGCTGAGGCTGCAGAGAAGGGGGAACAGTAGGGGAGGGGCTGGGGGCAAGCCTCCCTGGCCAGGAGCTCAAGGGCCGAGCAGGAGGGTCCCGTGGGCCGGATGTGGCTGGCTGCCCGCAGTTTGTCCACCTCTGATCTAGATTTATCTTACTTTTGTTTTAAGAGGTAACCAATAATCTAGAATGTATATAGTTACATCATTTTAATCCAGATTAAATTGAATTTTATACACAGGTTTAGATTAACCCTGATTAAAATTACCAAAAAATCTTGGAGTTGTAATATACATTTAATGAGGTGTGGTTTTCTGTGTGATTCAATTATTATTTTGCCACTGTGGTGGATACTTCATAATGTTTTAAAATTATGAAATGCTATAGTTAATGACGCATAACTTCCACGGACGGTCTCGAGCACATTTGCTGAAAATGACACCACTGTAATATAATGATTCATTCTTATTTCTCTAGGTTATATCTCCAGCAAAAGTGTGTGGCATCACCAATGAATCTGAAACAGTTAAAAGACTTCGCTTGGCTGTCACAAATAAGGATTTTACTTTTAAAGCAGGACAGTGGTAAGACTTCTCCCTGATTTTGTGGTGGGAAAATTGTTTACAGAAAACCCAGGATGATGAAGTGATAAAAGGAAGATACTGGGATAATGCATCTCCATTATATTTATATAACATACTATTTTAGTCATAAATGATATATAAAACAGCTGATAAATTCAACCTCATAATTGTAAACTGTTTTATTAAATACATCCATATTTCATACAAATAGAAAAAAATAAAAATTAATATTTGCCAGTTTTCATTTTCATTTCTTCAGTGATGACCTGTGGTTTATATCCATTAACTTTTTGCTAAATGAACATCTTTACACACTACTTGTATTCCATTACTCTAGCTGCACAGTGGAGCAGAGACTGAGTGCTGCAAATTTGAAAGTTAATTTTAATTTGGTTTTACAGTTTTCTAATTAAAAAACCCAAAAAAGTAATGTTGACCTTTGTCCCCCTAACGTTAGATCTGCTGGGTTAGTTTGGGTAGGCGTATACTTGAAAACAAACCCAATTCACTGCTTAGGCCATTCTATCGATTAACTGTTGACACTTCCCAGGGATACCCAGGGCTTTATGGCTCCTTGCTACCACCTGTCTTTATCATGAAGAATCCTTGTCTGTGACTTTTGGGGGTCAGCTCCCCAATTCCACTGGCCATGAGCAACACAAGTACTCCCCTCTAAGCCTTACAAGTCCTGTAGTTACTCTACGAGTAGTAATTAGCACACACTAATCCTCTAGCCCTCTAATCATTTCACTGGAGTGACCAGCCCCTCGTTCGCTGGTTGCTTGCAGTGTTCACAGATTTGCTTCTTCCAAAGAAACAGTACATCCCAGTTTACCAATTCCACCTCAGATTGCTGCTCTACTGAACATGGAGCTCTTAGATATATTTATGGTGAAATCAGGAATAAGTTTCTTTAACAAAGCATGGAGATTCAAAGTAATAGCAAATAGAAGTATTGGAAACAAAAATGGTTACATATAAAATAAAACTATAACATGCATGCTAGACTCTAAACATAATTAACAAGATATTTCATGTCTTATTAAGCTTTGCTCACCCAAAAATCCTTGCAGCGATTTATAGCTAGGCTGGCTGTGATCCTCCTTTTACGAGATAAGCATGCTGTCAGCTTGCCTTCTTGGTGAAGGACCTGGGGGTTTGCTTGCATCCAATATATAACAGACCCATCCTTTTTATTTATTCATAAACCAGAGCACCCCTCACCTAGGTGTTTGTTTGCCTCCTGGGAATTCACTCTCTTCTAGATTTTGCACGCTCTTAGTTAGCGTGTGGCTCAGACGGTAAATAGGCATCCATTGTGAGGTATACAACACACAGATGACCAGACAAGGACATAGGTGTCTGTTACCTCCTGCCTGAATGGAACATTTCTGCGTTATGTCACCTGCCTTAATTCAAGACCTCAAGAATGTAATTTTTAGTATAGATATATTTCTCCTTAAATATTACTTTGTGTACATTTTGCGCTGAGTATGATGACCAGTGGGTGAACTATTATGCATACATCTGACGGATACTTGTAAAAACCTATGCACCCCCTGTACCCTCTGGCAGTTGGCACCAAGCAGTCCCTGGGTTACAATTGCTATTTAAACAATGTTACGGTTTTAGGAGTGTTAGAATTTTTCAGGATCAGGAAGAATTTCATGTTTCAACTCAAATACTATTTTGTAGGATTAGTTATAATCTGGACCTCTCACTCTTGACAGTGAGAGACAAGGTGGATGAGGTAATATCTTTTATTGGACCAACTTCTGTTGGTGACAGAGAGAAGCTTTCAGGCTTACACAGAGCTCTTCTTCATTTCCCAGATCTGAAGAGGAGCTCTGTGTAAACTCGAAAGCTTCTCTCTATCACCAGCAGAAGGTGGTCCAATAAAAGATATTACCTCACCCACCTTGTCTCTCTGATATCCTGGGAGCAACACTGCAAACAACTCTTCACAGTGATCCTTTAACTTTTTTTTTTTTTAAACTTCCTGTTGGCTTAGTCCAGCTGGAAACTGCTTTTGCTGGAATCAAAGTTTAACTGCTAGGGTGTTAACAGCATGTGCTACCAGTGTAGTCTTAATATCCAGACTTTTACATTTAGAACCAGAAAAACAAGATGTTGATTGCAATAATTTTTGCTTGTGGAGCAATTTGTTGCAGTTTTTGCACATGTGGAGTGACGCATATTAAATTCTTGCTTGCCAGTTCTTCGAAAAACACATTTAACCATCAAAAATGTTTTAGCAATTATCACTCTGAAAAATGAAAGCTTTAATTATAATTACTCTTTTCATATTTTTTTTCCTTGAAAGTATTCTAAGGCTGTTTTTTGGCATGGCAACTTCTCTGTACTGGAAGCTATAAACTGAGGTCATGTTTTCTGAGGAACAGTGCCAAGAATCAACAATTTCCTGAATAGAAAACCCTAACATGTCAGTGACATGTGATAGTGAGATGCCAGAGCTAAAGTTTGTCTTCACAGCATAAACACAAAAAATGCAGTTTACATAAGCAAAAAAAGTTGATTTGTTGTCCCAGGATATAATAGACTTTTGTTGTCTATCAAGTTACAAGTAATAATTAAAATGAACAAGAAGAGATTTATTACTGTAATAAGGCATTTTGAATGTGACAGATTGTGCATGCATATGTTTGTTTGTAAGTATCATGAAGGACAAAGGACCAGTAACTTTGAACTCATCTTAATACTTCTAACTTCTTATTCCAGCAACTGTTGGATATTTATCTCTTTTCTGAATCTTTGACTTTAAAAAACTTTTAAGAGACAAAGGAGGATATGTGACTGAGACATACCTAAAAGTTTACAAATTCTCTTTCCTCTTTTTAAATGCAGCATCTTCCCTTATCTTGGCTTCCCCTTGTTGGATGGAGATATATATATATTTCTAGAATTACTCCACTTAAACCATCACCAGTAGTGTATTACTTTGGAAGTCCTCCCATGTCTTCTCATACACTGTTAAAGTAAGGCAAGCCTTCAGAAGCAGCAGTCAGTTTAAGATGATATACTACAACATAGTACGTAGCCTACTAAAACATCTGCTGTCCGGAGTGAGCTAAGTTTAAAAAATTATGTATTTTTTTTTTAAACTACACACTTGCATAAATACTGTTTTAGAAGGTAAAATCTTTACTTAAAAGTCATGCTTTTTAATAATTTTTGAATTTAATGTGATCTCAAACAGGGTTTTAAGAAACTAATAATTTCTGCTGTCCATAACCAGAATACTTACTTTGGCATGATTGTGGACCATGATTTGTGGTTTAAGTGCCCTCCATCCTAGTCTGAGCATTCCAGTTTATTCCTTTCCTGGAGACAGTGGTACAGAGCTTTAGTATCCTCAGTTGAGGTGTTCTTTGGTATAGTAAGTATTACAGCACAGAATTGGATCATCTTTACTCAACTTCCCAGTCTAATTACTTTAGAGCCTGTTTACCAGAAGTGCTCAGTACCGACAGCTCCATTTGAAGGCAATGGGAGCAGCAGGCACTGAGGACATCTGAAATTCAGGCTCTTAATTTCTCTAGATTAGGCAGTCTCCTCAGGCCTCCTGTTCTGTAAAACAATGTTTCTCAGCCTTTTCAGGTTGGCAACCCAAAAAATGACGACCGTACATTTACTATAAAAGAGTAAAAAATGTATTAATGATAAGCCTATGTAACGTGTGTGTGTGTGTTTGAGAGATTGATGAAGAATACTTCTCTCTGAAGGGCAAGGGTGTGCTGTGAGTGGATATGAAAGATTTTCTGTGCTTTAGATAATAAAATTGTCAGTGCCTTGCCCTACCTGCCGTTTTATAATCTCTTTTGGGATCACAACCCACCAGTTGAAAACACTGCTCAAAAACACCCATGCAATAGAAGTTAAACCACACTATTGCCATCCTCATTTAACTAGCCAACTTAATAACTCATTGTGAATTATCTGGGGCTATTAAAGAAGCTGACAGACATAATTTTGATCAGAACTGAATATTTACAGCATTTTGTGCGGGGTGTCATCTCAGGCCTTAATTGACTGATCAGTCATTCTCCCATATTTAGCAGTCATTACCACTGTGCTCAGTTCACAAAGGGAGCAGCCCAACTGACTTTAACATAAAGTTTATAATAAGAGTCCAAATTTTGGTGTTTGCAGCAGAGAAGTGGGAATATTATTGATTGCTTGAATATTAAGGCAGCTCTCTTTAGGAGTTTGAAAAGCACCAATAGAAGATTCCAAGTTAAGACCCTGATTTTCAAAGATGATGGAACACCACAACTCCCATTGACCTTGGTTGATGCTCATCACATCTGAAAATTACCCCTAGTTTTCTGAAGTTATTTAAACTGAACTATGAGTATCTGTCTTTCATTTGTGAGTGCAGCTGGATGAAAATGGAAGACAAAGAATTGTAATGTTGTTGAGCATTGAATTTGACTTTTAGCTGCTCTGAAAGTAACATGACCTTATTTTTCAATACGATGTGAAACACATTTACTAAGACTCCAAATTTTTTTAGTAGGCTTCTTATATTTTATGATATATTGTTGTTCTATAGCTTTATTAGCATCATTTGGGAATGATCCACATGCACAGAGAGAACCACTGATGGCAAAGGCTTGTCTTGTAACTTGCCAGCCACTGATATACCTAGCATTCTATAACATGTTAATTTCTGAACTTTAAGTTCTTAAGCATGTGTTTTAAATTTAGTTTAGACCAACACACATTATAAAAATGCTTCTTGTACATTATCAAAATGTTGTATGTCACTAGAGGGTGCTGCAGTTTAGCATGTGAAGCACTATCACTTATTTTAGTAGCTTTCATTTTTTGACATTTAAAAATAAATAGGTATGTAAAGAATTTTTTACAGTCCTTTTTCTTACTCTCAGAAGAATGTATGTGTATGCCATTAAAATCTGTTTTCCTAAATTAGTTTTCCAATCCCTTTCCCAGTAAGGTACAATAGTTTGAAAATGAAAGGGAGTATCTGTGGTGCTGAAAATGGTGGAAACTGAGTCCTCTGGCTGGACTATATTGACTTTTTAAATACATAGCTAGACTTAAGTAAATGACTAATACTTAAATGACTAATAGTATTAGTAAATGACTAATACTTTTATACATTGCACTTAAGCCTCAAGAACAACCTAGAAATGTGCCAGTATAATACAGATGTAATTTACTTTCTGGCAATCTGGAAATAAAAAGAAATAATCCTGTCCCTTTACATTCATAGGGGAAAAGAATTCTGATTTGATGGCATTACTCAAGCTGTGTGTTCGGATGCCAAATGCTTATTATTAAGCTAGTAATAACAAGTGGTTACTCAACTTTGTAAAAATTTTGTTCAGTTATTTTGTTATCAAAACATACAAATACAAAAACTGCTAGTGCACTATCTCTGTTGGGTTCTGAACCTTATAGAAATCAAAATGCACACGTTTTGGTAAACACAGAGTAGCTGAGATCAAGCCAACCGCTTTGTGTTGAAGGAAACTCGGCGAACATTCTCTCACATTGTTTTTAAAGTTCCTTTTATTTAATTGTTTCTTAGGGTAGATTTCTTTATCCCTGAAGTTGCCGTAGTTGGTGGATTCTCAATATGTTCCAGCCCTGGTCTACTGGAACAAGAGAGAGTATTGGAACTGGCAGTAAAACATACTGTACATCCTCCTGCTCACTGGATTCACACTCAGGTAAACATTTGCAGATGATTACACACTGAACAAGTCATTTTTCACTTAGAACTTGATTCTGTCCCGTTGAAGTCAGTAGCAAAACTCCTATTGACTTCAGTGAGTAGGGTATGGGCCCTTATTAATACACAATTTCTAAGCATCTCATTTAATTGGCCCTAACTTTCATCATGAATAAAATAATCTGCTTTGTAAGAGGCCGTGAAATAACGTAATTCGTGTGTGGTAACCTGAGTCTAAAGTTGTGATCTTCTAACTTGTTGGTGCCTCTCTTCTGAATCTGGCTCTTAGATACAGCTCTGTTATATTACATAGATATATCTAACATCCTGAATTTGTAGAACTTTCCAGCAATCATGTCTAACTGAAGGGTCACAGTTAGTAAGTTTAAATGTTTATACAGTTACAAATGGTTGACAGACAAAAATCTTATGTTATAAAAGGGACCCTTATGTCAGTAATAAATAATTGGTAAAGCAACACAATACTTCAGAGCTGACAAAATCCCAATACTCTGGATTACACTTTGAGACAATTTAAAGCCTCTTTTTGTTTGTTTTTTTCGTTTTTGGTCATGCTAAGAGTGGTCTGATTCTTTTCTCCCCTGCTGTTTTGTGATGGGTGGTACTTGAGGCCTTGGAGCATTTTTTACATTCTACATTTTACATACATTCTCCTATTTACCACAGTTTAATTGTGGTCACGAGATTTCCTTCCACGCTGTTGCTCTTTCGTTCAGATATCATTCCTCCTACTTACTATCCTATGCCTGTCATCCATAGTTCTCTAAGTATGGCTCCAAGGTCTAGGCTAACAGAGTCTTCCAAGGTTACAGCAATTGCTGCTCTGTTTATTGACCAGAAGAGTCACAGTAAAAATCAAGCAGTGAGAATCCCCAGGTTGATCCTAACCCAGCAGTTACCATGTGACCTTGCACTGCACTTCTGCTGCTGTTAAATCAGGTTAGTTTCATGCATCACTGGACTTCAAAAGAAATGACTTGTTTTGAAAGGCTATGTAGAAAATGTAGGACCAATGTCACTGGCTACACACTTAATGATAGGAAACATCCCTGTATACTATTCCTTTGGTGTTGCTCAGTACGTACTACTGAAAGCCTAACTTAATTTTCCATTTCTGAGGCATCTCTGAAGCTGTTATCCCTCCTTAACACTGCTGTTGAATTTTTTAGGTGAATTCACAGGAAAATACTCAGTTCACATGTAAACTAGTTCAAACGCTGATGCTGCAGAAGAATCCTCAGGATATGAGCTGAGTTTTCTATTAAGCAAGTGCTTTATTTCTGTAATGAGGGAAGGGGAAGGAAAAAATTTAATGACCTCTTTGAATCTTGTGACATTTATTTGGTAGAGAAGCCGTGAGATTTAATTAATTAAAGTTAACTTGTAATGCATTTTGAGATTCCAGGATATAGGACACTTTAGAAATGCTAAATATTATTTGTCTTATTTACTTATTGCACCTGTTTTTTTCAAATTGATTTTTTCATATTTAACTTTTAATACCTTATTTATAATATATTTCATCTGCACATTTCTAGTACACTTGTGTATAATCTTAACAACTTCAAGAAGATACACTTCTGTGGATGAAGTTGTAGTGTAGTTTTTTTGCTTTTGATCCATCTTCTTTTTCTCTCTGCCTAAGCCATTTCAATGCAATGCTTGCAATTTTAGTAGAATATGCTAATTCTATGCTACAGGGTGATGCTTCCCCACCAAATCATCCCAGAATTAATAGTCTTCACTAACATGGTGACTCTTAATAATAAGCTTCTTCTCTAATGTGGTTCCATTAGTAGAGATGCCTAGGTGTGTCTTGCTCATCTGTCAGTCAGGTTATTCCATTGGTCCCTGAACTGCACAGGGGGCTGCTGGTGTAAAAAACAGTTGCCTAAGTCAGAGCCACGCCCCACCCTGAGGCCTGACTGTGCTCATTCTACAAGAGGCCAAGGTGGTGAGGGATACAAAGTGGACAGGGATGGGCACTTTTGTCTCTTCCTGTTTTATTTTCTGGGAGAAAGTCTGTCTTCCCCTATTCCAAGTGGTACTTGACCTCTTCTGAGGCCTGGAAGAAAGAAGGTGCCTCTGTGAGGCATGGAAGAATTGAAAGAGCCTGCCAGTGTGTTGGGAAAAGGAGGAGGAACTGGGCTCAGAAATAACACATACGGATTGTCTAATACCACTTGACTGACAGATAAGAGGAATTTACTCATTTGTCCACATTACACAGTGCAATTAGCAAGGAAAGAAACATTTTGGGCTTTAGGGTGATGATGGTAGCCACTGAAGATGCAGCACACCAATACGTGATGATATTAGCTGGCATGATATGACTTTCGAAGACCAATCCTTACTGATGATAAATCCGACTCCTCCAACATTTCTAGCACCATCTCCCTTTCCGAGCCTCACAGCGCTTCCATCCTTCCAGTTGACTTCCAACTCCTTCTTTCGTCAGGTTTCACAGATACCGAGGGTATCACATCTTATCCTTTTCTTCTTCTCCATCAGATGGTTTAACGTTTCCTCCCTTGCCAGTGACCTACAATTGTAAGAGTACACAGCAAGGGTTGTCCTTTTCCATGTTGGCCTAGCACCTGACATTTTTAGCAACCTCTCATTGCTCAATTTTTTCTCCACCACTGTAAAACAGTTCAATGATGCGCAGGGAACTAAGACCCATTTACTCATGTTGTTTTAGCCATTAACTTCAAGCCATACCACTGGCTAGGCGGGCAGGCATGCATACCTCCTCAAGCTTAGCTAGCCTTCAACCTCTAAGGAGAATGAAAAGCGCTCTTTCCTCAGAGAGCAATCCCCCTCCCTGGATTGGATAGTCCGAAACCTTTGTAGCATGGTTAGACCTACCAGGGCATATGCCCCGCTACCATAGCTGTCAGACGGCCAGGGTCACAGCTGCACCACGATGAGGTGGTGAGGTAGGATTTTGCAGTGGCTTTTGCATCTTCAGATGGAGTCAAAAGCGACCCTCAAGGTCATCCAAGCCTACAGTTCCACAAGTGCAGGTGAGGACGAAGAAGTGGAAGAATTCTACCGAGAGCTCGAAAGAGCCCTTGCGCAAAAGTTCACTTACACTGTCATGATGGGAGATTTCAATGCCAAGGTCGGGCGAGGGAAAGCTGGCGAAAAGTTCATAGGGAGATATGGCAGTGGCGAAAGGAATGAAAGAGGAGAGAGCCCGGTAGCGATGGCAGAAACGAAAGAACTGTACGTGTCAAACGCCTGGTACAAAAAGAAGACCGCAAGAAGGTGGACATGGATCGCACCAAACGCGAAGAGCAAGAATGAAATTGACTATATTTTAGTCAATAAAAGGCGCATCGTTCAAGATGTCTCTGTGGTGCAGCCTTTCAACACTGGCAGTGACCATACCTGCTTAGAGCGAAGTTGATTTTCGACAAAGCAGTGGAAAAGCAGGTATAACAGATGGCAAACGAGAAACAGCGGCTGAAGACATTTGATGAAGCAAAGCTAAAGAAAGCGATTTCTGGGTTTGACTGGAGCCAGATGGAAAAGTGCGAGGAGAACTGTAGTATCTTTGCTGACAAGCTGAGACGTTGCATAAAAGCAGCTGAAATTGAAAAGCTGAAGAAGGCGAAGGGAAGACTCTCGAATGAAACAAAAAGCTTGTTGGAGAAGTGGAGAAATGTGAAAAGGAGCTCTGATAATAACCTCAAGTACTCCATCCATTCTGTGCAAGCTTATACGTCGAAAACTGAAGGACAACTTTGAGAACTTCCGGAAAGAAAAGCTCCTCAAAACAGCTGAATCATGCAAGAGCCTCAGGTCATGCAAGCAGGAATTGATGCAATATAGATTGAGCGTAACAGCATTGAAGAGCAAGGACGGAGAGACGGTAATTGACAGAGCAGGGATGGAGGAGGTCTGCAAGGACTTCTCTACAGAACTGTTCAAATCAAGAATCAACGTCCCTCTCCCAATGCTCCAAGAGTCAGAAGAACGCATCCCCCCAGTAATAGTCAGCGAAGTCCGAAGCCCACTACACCAGATGAAGAAGGGAAAAGCTCCAGGCAAAGATGGAATAACGTCAGAAATGATTTCTGCTGGAGGCAAAACGCTTTGGAAGGCCCTCACTTTAAGATTTAGTCGATATCTTGGAGAAGGAAAGATAACATTAAACTGGAAGGAGTCGAATACCATCTTGCTGCACAAGAAGGGTGATTAAGAAAATCTTAAGAACTACTACTCTGTATACCTGCTCTCTCACATCTACAAGCTCTTTACAAAGAAGAACAGTCTCTCACAGAGTCTGGATGAACAACAGCCGAGAGAGCAGGCAGGGTTTTGAAGAAATTTCAGCATGATTGACCATATATTTACCCTTAGGCAGCTCCTAGAAAGAGCGAGGGAATACAGACTCCCGCTGTCCATTGCTTTCGTCGACTATGAAAAGGCCTTTGATAGCGTCGAGTTTAACGCAATATTAAAGGCACTCGCAGAGCAGGGCATTAACATGCAGTACATCAGTTTGTTGAAGGAAGCAAATACTGGATGTACAACAGACATTACTCTCCTCGAAACTCTCCTCCGCATCCCAATCGAGAAAGGCATAAAGCAAGAAGATATGATTTCACCGAAACTATTCACTGCCTGCCTCGAAATGGTTATGAATAAGATCAATTGAAGGAGTGGTGTCAACATAAACAGAAAACGATTATCCCATCTCAGATTAGTGGACGACATTGTACTAATTGCCGAAAGCACCAACCAACTGCAGAGCATGCTACGAAGACTTGACAAGAAAAGCAGTCAGGTCAGCCTGAAAATGAACCGCTGCAAAACGAAATACATGCGATCAGACATCTTACGAAAAGCCCGAATAACGGTAAGAGGAGAAGAAATCGACAAAGTGGTACAGTACATATATTTGGGCCAAGAAGTTAATATGCGCCAAGACCTGAACGGAGATCTCTCACGAAGGATTCGGGCAGGATGGTGTGCGTTTAATTCCATCAAAGACATCCCCAAAGGAAAAATCGACAAGACCACACGTACAAATATCTTCAGTTCAACAGTGCTGCCAGCCATGCTGTATGGCAGTGAAACGTGGGCACTGACGAAGAGAGAATAGCAGCTGTCTGTAGCTGAAAGGGCAATGGAACAAGCTATGTTGGGAATTTCCCTTCTGGATCACATCCCAAATGAAATGATCAGAGAACACAGAGGTGTGAAAGGTATTGTTGTGGAAAGCAAACATAACAAGATGCGATGGGTGGGCCACACAGCACGGCTCACGAACAATAGGTGGACCACAATCATTGCTGAGTGGTACCTGCGAGAACAGAAAAGACGACCCGGTTGGCTTCCAAGAAGATGGGAAGATTACATTGTTAAACGTTTTGGATGAATGTGGAGAAGAAAGGGAAGAGCGCGAGAAGAATGGCAGACGTGTTGTGATCAGCGCAGTCTTAATGACAGCTGAAAACCAATTGATCCAGGTGATGGTAGTCACCTTTAGGGGCCTCCTGCTTCCTTACAATCCTAGTTGTATGTAACACTCTGCTTCAAAGGATCTTTCCTCATCTTGGTACAGGTAGTCTTTTGGGGCATGGACCTTTACTTAATATATGCCTTTCGCTGATGGAAATCTACTCTTCATAGTAGACGTGACTGACACAATGTCACTTAACTCTAAGCCCAAGATTCGCCTTTTTGATTTTGCTTTACTTCTTGGTTTGTAAAGCACTTAAGACAGTAATTTCTCGGTCTGTTGGAGCCTGACAAGTGACTAGCTTAATCTTCAGGTTCACTTCATAAATGGTTTTGTAGTAGTAGCATCCCACCAAAATGACAAATAAGGGTCAGTCTTTTAGCCTCCTGCCTCAACATTTTCTTTTTAGTTTTTTCTCACCTTAACATGAAGTGATTTGGCCTCGTCTGTTTCAATTGCTATTTCCTGATAGTAGAAGCGACTTTCTGGAGGCAGCACTTTTTGTCTGTGACTGATGAATTGCTGTTCCTGGAAGATTTTTTTCCCCTTTTCTTGTATTTTTACCTCTCCTTCTTTTTTTGTTTGTCCCTCTTTCCTGTTCTTCCCCGTCTGCGTGGTCTAGAGTGAGAACATACGATTCTGATCAGGAGTTCTGTCTTCTGTTCCTGGTACTGCTGCTAACTCGTGACCTTGGACAACTTGCTTAATTTCTCTATCTCCATTTCCCCCTTCATGCAAGGGTGTCAGTCTGAAATTGAAAAAGCTTTCTCATATTCCAAGAGAACATTATCCCAGTGTCAGAGTAGCAGCCGTGTTAGTCTGTATTCACAAAAAGAAAAGGAGTACTTGTGGCACCTTAGAGACTAACAAATTTATTTGAATATAATCTTTCGTGAGCTACGAGTTGTAGCTCACGAAAGCTTATGCTCAAATAAATTTGTTAGCCTCTAAGGTGCCACAAGTACTCCTTTTTCTTTTTATTATCCCAGTGTGATATACTTAAGGCAGTTTCACTTTTCCATGTAATAAACTTTCTTTGCAGAGTTGCTCCCAGAAACTACCTCTATTCATATGTGGCTGGAATTTTGATTTTGAGGGGGAAAGGGTTACCATGTGATTTTTGTAGTAGTTTAATAAAGCAGATAGAAATATCACTATAAGAGAAGTTTCTTTTAGGAGGTTCTCTCCTTTTTTTGGAGTGGCAGTGGGGAAGACTGTCCTTTTAGGTCCACAAAACTGCAACATGACTTCCTCCTGTAGCCTGACTCCTTTCCCCTTAGCGGAGCCTTTCTGAGAATAAGGGTCCTGGACTTAATGGGAATCTCAGACTTTAACCTTGGATCTTCACAACAACACACATTTTCATTGTGAAAAAATCCTAACATAAATCACTCCTTAGTGTGAAATATCCTGCATCAGCCCTCATAGGGGAATGTCATCAGTCCTTTATCAGGGCAGTGCCTTGGCCTGAAGGCAAAAAACAGGCCCCTTCAGGGCACTCAACCAACTGACTTCAGATAACTGGGTTGATTTTGAGTGTGTGTTTTTAAAATACTTGGGCTTCCCCTCACGGGTAAAATATGTAAAAACTAACATTGATTATCTTATTCTGAAGCCCAGCTTGTCTTATGATTTAGTGATGAATGACAACTTGTATTTTGTCCATTGCTTTTAGTTAAAGTTAAAATATTATCTTTTTTTTCTGCCCCTAGTGCTCCCTTGACTCAGTAGTGGCTCTGCGAGTGGGAGGCAATTTCTTCTTTGATCCTCAACCTGCTGACTCCCCTGTAAACCTTGTGCTGATTGCAGGGGGAGTAGGAATCAACCCATTGTTTTCCATACTGCTACATGTAGCAGATTTTCATAGAAATCAAGAGAGTGAAGAAAATGGGTATAAAATGGGAACAGTGAAGCTGTACTATAGTGCAAAAAACACAAATGAACTCTTATTTAAGGTAGGTAAAAGGAAAGAGGTTTTTTTTAATTGTTTTTTCTTTTCAGAAGGCTTATTGTTCAGTTTGTTTGTATTAATGTAGTGAGGAGGAGTGCTACTCATAGACCAGGCCCCTCTTGCGCTAAGTGCTCTACAAACCCAGAACAAAAAAAACTGTCCCTGCCTCAAGAAGCTTGCATATCTTTTTTCCTGCTCCCATTGACTTCTGTGGTGCAGAATCAGGCCCTGTATGTGTAAATGTTCTGCCTTTCCCCCCTTGTTGCTATTTTTATTGAACTTAAATACCTTTGATTTGCTTTCTGTTTGCGAACATCTGACCTTATGATCCAGTGTAATGGTTGCCAAAGAGACAATTGAAAGTTAGTCACAGGGTTGTCAAGTCGATCTATAAAACCAGTTCTACTGGAAAATGTCTTCTGAAAAATTCTTGCTAAAATTACGTACAGGCCCATACATGTTTGTGTATCTTCAAGGTGCCCACATTTGCAAAAATTGCAGTCAGGAAGCAACATCAGTACATGCGGGGGAACTTCTAAACTAATATAGGCTTGTGGCATTAACCACAGTTGCAGTTAAAGCACAAACGTTTCCAAAATAAGCCTTTCAAATTTCTAGTCAAAAAGCTATGATTCTTGTACAGATCTAGACAAATTACCTCCTCAAAGACAATTAGCCAATTTTTCAAAAGTTGCATCTTATTTTTGATGCCTCTATTTCTGAGTACTCTTCTTAAGACACTGATTTATCATTCCTGATAATCAGACCTTTGGTATTTAAAGCTGAGTATATGAAACTAGAGACCACTCTTGAAAACAAATTGTATAGTTACACTGATGGAATTTCAGAAAAGCTTGATTCAGCTTTTTTCCGATTATGTGATTCACATTCTTGGCTTGTACAATAAGAATTTATCAAACTGATCAAAATCGTTGCTCCAAAACATTTTTGCTCCATGTACACTATAACTGAATATTGAGGTATTACACCCTGTTGAATATATCTGTACACATCGAATGGCTGAACATATTTATTGGTATTGTTTCAAAAGATTTGGTGAATGTAGTGCTGCTGACTGTTGTTGGATTGATAGCCCCGCAGATTGATGTCCTTTCCCCACAGAACAGCAGCATGTGTTATGCAGCATTATTTTTCAGCATGCAGAAGAGGTACAGGTGAAGTGTGAAGTGCAAGTTTGTCAACAGTATCCCGCAAATGTGTGTCAGAATCCTGGTCCAGAGATTAAAGGGTTATTTGGTCTCCCTGTTCATTTGGTTCTTGCCCTCCCAACAGAGGTAGCAGCAGTTCTCCTCTGCTTTTTTGTGATGTGAACATATGCACTAGGACAGGTGGGAGGGCCACATCTGAGTATAAAAATTGCATGGCGGGCCATGAATACTCACAAAATTGGGGGGTTGGGGTGCAAGAGGGGGTGAGGGCTCCGGCCGTGGGTGCAGGCTCTGGGGTGGGGCAGGGGGTGGGGGGTGGAAGGGCTCCATCTGGGAGTGCAGGCTCTGGGGTGGGGCTGGGATTGAGGGGTTTGGAGGGCAGGAGAGGGATCAGGACTAAGGCAGGGGGTTGGGCCCGGGATGGAAGAGGGGGCTCGGGTGCAGGCAGGCTCTGGGAGGTGCTTACCTCAAGCAGCTCCTGGAAGCAGCAGCATGTCCCCCCTCTCGCTCCTATGAAGAGGCACGACCAGGCGGATCTGTGTGCTGCTCCATCTGCACGCGCCACCCTCGCAGCTACCAGAAGCAGCGGCATGCCCCTCTACAGCTCCTACGTGGAGGAGTGGCGCCGGCCATGTGGCTCTGCGTGCTTCCCCGTCTGCAGGTACCTCCCTTGCAGCTCCCATTCGCCGTGGTTCCTGGCCAGTGGGAGCTGCAGGGGTGGTATTTGAGGCGGGGGCAATGTGTGTAGGAGCTGGAGTGGGGACATGCCACTGCTTCCAAGATCTGCGCAGCAAGACCCTGACCCCACTCCCCGGCGAGAGCTTGAGGGCCAGATTAAAAGGCCTGATGGACTGGATGTGGCCCACGGGCTGTAGTTTGCCCACTCCTGCACTTGGAACTGGAGTAAATTATACATGGACCACTAAACAGCTGTCATATAGTCATGGCTTGTTCATTACAGAACTGGGCTGGATTTAGTGACCTCATGGTGAAAAGTTCTCATTAACAATCTACTCATTGCTATTATTTTTAATGTATCAATACTATTTCAACCAATGGAAGGAAACTTTTTCATAGAGGTATAGTGTATTTTTATCTGTATGCTCTGCCTTACTGATGTACCCTGTATTTTTTTTTTTTACTGTACTATTGTTGACCTGCTATGTCAGACATGCCAACCCTCCCTTATTTTTGGTAATCTCTTGATTTTTTTTTACATGTAATTATGAAATTACTATGTCAGCCTTAAATCTTTCAATTTTTCAAGTGTGCACACACGCGCATATATATATATATATATATTTTTTTTTTAAATGTATGCCTGTCACTAACCACCACTCAGGTCCTACGAATATAGCAAATAGTATTGTGGCCCCTGTGGCACATGCCCAGACTGCACAGTGAGGGTCTGATAAGAGGCAAGCCATGATGGTTTAGAATGGGTTGGGGCACTGCTGAATTAACCGCTCAAACCACAGGCTGTGTGTTGGGCTCTAGCTGCCCCGTGTATACCCTGCTGGACTATGTTAATGTGCTATATATACCTAGAGCATGCCAGGAGGGGCCGCCTGCAGCCGTGAGAGCACAACATGCAGCCTGTGCTGTGGCCCTACAGATAGTCACTGCAGCTTGTCTTCCATTAAACCCTTACCAGGGAGTCTGTAGGGGAAGAGAAGCCAGAGGGGTTGGAGGAGGCAATGACAGTAAGAGTAGGAGAGAGGGAACGTGACAGAGGAGAGAGAAGAGGAGGATCATCATCCTGGGAAGGAGGTCCAGGGCGAGGACTGACCAAGATAATTGAGGCTCTAAGTGGCATAGGCGGGCAGCTTTCCGCTTCCCTCTGCCTGCCTTTGACCATAGACATGGAAAGGATGGGGGAGGTCCTGGTTTCTTTAGGGGGAAGGGGAGGGAAGGGAGGTGGGAAGAGGTCCAAGCAACTTCCCTAATTTTTTTCCATAAACATCTCTAAAAGTCTCAGAGCAAAGTTGGCATCTCTGTTATGTTTTGATTATATCTGGATGTAATAAGCTGAATCTATAACATTTTTAAATGTAACCAAATTAAAAATAACATAAATTTCACACCCAGAAATGTCAAGAGACTGAGAATTTTCTTGCATAATTTGAAAACACAAAAAGTCACTTTTTTTTTTTTGCATGAAATTTTGCATATGTGAATTTCAAATAGCTGGGTTTGGTCAAATTTATACTCAAGAGTTTTGACAAAATTAAGTAGAGATGGTAGCACAGGGCTGGGAATAACGCTTTCTTACATCAATGGGGTGCCAAGGCTAAAAAATATTAGCAATTATGAGGTGCTCAGAATTTGCTAATGCTAGGTGTGTAAGTACCGATATAGATTTTCTTCAAACAACATTTTTTTAAGTTGCTTCTGTTTCCTAACTCAAAAATGTGAAAACACAAGTTAATTGGGGGAAAAAGCTGTTAGTTCTGTGTTTTTGCCAGCCCTAGTTTTGATCAACCATCATGTTGGTGCTACATCTCATAATACTGTGTTCGTTGTTTAGTAGAATAGAGTCCTTGTGATAATACTTTGCCATCATCTCAATGTTTGTGTGACAGTTTAAGAATTGAGTAGTACAGCACTTGGATGTAGGGTCGCTGATAATACTGTTAATGTCCAATCAGCACAGCTTCCATAAGGGAAAATTGTCTCTCTCTAATGAGTTAGGTTTCTCTGAAGAACTCAGTGGCTTTTGGTCATAAAGGATTGAAGAAAATAAATACTAGGTAAAGGGCAAAGATCTGTGTGGATCTGAAAAATGGCTGATCAGTGTGATCTGCTCCTCTGAATGTGGATAAGTAAATGGGTTGAATGCCTGAGGCTGGGGTCACTACTGGGTTTGGTTTTATATATTAATGACTTGGAGGAAGTAGACAGTGAATGGGTGAAAACTTCAGGTGAAACAATATTTTGGTTTGCAAAGACTGAAGTTTAGGAAATTATCACATTAGGGGATTGAGTAGCAAGATGGCTGAGGTTAACCAAGGTAAAATGCAAGGTGAAGCCTGTTAGTATAACATTGTCTAAAGTGCTCATATCTGCCAGTAGACTCTGACTTCTGTTATTCTCCTGAGTGAAAAAAAGAGTCAATCTATCCATTGCATAGCCAAATTAGAATAAAATAATTTCTTGCATATGAAATGAGTAAAATAATGCAGAAGCTGTTGTGACATTTGGCAATGATTTGCCCTCATCTAATGAAATGTCTGCATGTTTGATCACAGCACTTTAATGATATAGTTACAAAGGCAAGGAAGATGGCTATAAGAATGTCAGGGCTACTTGTATCCAGTGATTCTATAGTGGGGTTGTTTAGTGTCTCAGGGACAGGAGTTAGGGACTTAATATATTAAACTATGCAAAGAACTGATGAGTCTCTCTTCTTAGTTACTAAAACCCTGTTGCATAGTATGAGATGACGCTATGAAATTAAAAGACAGGCTATTTAGATATAAAAAGTAATGTTTCTTACAGTGTCTGTAAGAAAAAAAATCTGGAAACTGTATGATGCTTGCAGCAAGTCCTCTGTTTGTCATGCTATTTAGATTACAAGGTCTTTGGGATGCAGACCATCTCTCACAGTGGGTCTGTATAGTGTCTAACAGAAAGGGGCCCCTTATTGGGGCCTATAGACTTCATTGTAATACAAACAATAAGCAATACATTGAGGGGGGGAAGTGGGTAATTACATCATCCTTGTTTCTCAGTTGTGCTAGGCAAGTCAAAATTAATCAAACCTTATGCATCCAGTTGAAAGGTAGATTGTCTGCAGGACACAGTAAAAAATTTTCCTTCTACACGCAGTATTGCATAATTAAGCCAGATGCATCCTGCGGGGCAGAGAAGATGTTTGCTTCCACTAAAGCATCTAGTGTTCTTTGCTGCTGGGGGCAGAACAACACACTTGCATCAATAGCTTCATTCAGTAGAACAATTACTAATGTTCCTGTGTGTTTTATAAATAAATATATACCATTTTTAATGGGGGTGGGGGTGTCCATACGTTCTAGAAAATCTACCTCTGCAATTTTGTGAGAGCATAGCCTTTGTATTGAACATTTTTGCAAGAGAACGGAGTGTGATAATGAGATGTGACTAGAGATTGCATTGCCACATTTGAATGATTTATTATGCATGTTCTTTCTTCATGATCTCTTGAAATTTAGCATTCAGAATATGTATGAAAATGCTTTGATAAATTGGTACACCAGGATGGGGCACACATGATCATGGCTTGGTGCTCCTTGTTATGAGACAACTCCATAGTAAACTCCCCAGGAAACCTTTAGTGCTTCAGCAAGGATACAGAGGACCCTTTAACCCCCAAGAAAAATACTTGTGAAGTAGACCTTCCTTTCTGTCACCTTGTCAAGTTACAATAAATCATTGCTCTGACAGTTACTCTTTTGCATGCTCTTAAGCAACTTCATAGGCAGTTACTGTTGCTTAACTCTTTGAAAATGTAGCTCTATGATATATTACCCACTATATACATTATGCCATATTAATGTAGTTCCTGCCAGTCTCTGCTTAAATAGCTGTCTCAAGTTTCTTTAAATGTGAACGTGACTGTTCTTCCCTTCCCACCTCCCAGTCACTATGCGAAGGGAGATCTTTTCCCCAGTGGGGAATCTCATTGTCCAGCTGCCATATCTGTTTTGTACATTAGTTGTCAGTTGGCAGATTCAGCCAGACAGAATAAAGAAAACCACCTCTGGCGCAAGGATGCTGGGGAAGCACTGCCTTTCTCTGCACCAGTTTTTGTCCCTGAGGTTTGTGTAGAATCATGGCCTGCACTCCTTGAGAGTGAATGTATAGGCAATACATGCACAAGTAAGGGGGAAGTCTGTGAATCTGCTTGGGAACCTGCTTAGCCAGGTCCTGATGTGTCCAATCTTTGGGAGAAGATTTGTCTCAAAAGTACCACAGAACACTGCACAGTTCCATATTATTGCTAACTTCCGTTCTGAAGATATGCAGGGAAGTAAAAATGGGTCCGTATGAGGGGTATTGGCAGAGCTGTTTGCAGAATTGTCTGCCTGTATGCCTTATCCTATTTGAAGTCCTCTTACTTTCATGAACACTGAACTTCACCCCCAAAATTAAAAACAAGTCTTCAAAGTGAGTTCAAGAACTTCTCTATATACCTCTCTGTATATACGCTGCAGTCAGTCTCGTTCTTATTGACTGGGAGACCCATGACAGTTTGCTCATACTAGTGGGTAAACAAACAAATGATAAAACAATCCAGGATACTATCACAGAATAGTTTGGTTTTACTTCATAATAATCTAGCAAATATACTATAATATACTTTCTTTAAAATGAATTTGTAGAGCACTACCAATGCCTTTTATAGTTATGAAAGCCCTAAGTAGCTTAGAATCTAGATCAGGGGTGGGCAAACTACAGCCCGGGGGCTGGATCTGGACTGCCAGCAGTTTTAAGCCGGCCTTGGAGCTCCCACTGGGGAGTGGGGTCTGGGGCTTGCCGCACTCCAGCCGGGGAGCAGGATTGGAGGGTGCTCCACGCTGCTTCCAGAAACGTAGGAGCCAAAGTGGGGACATAGCTGCTGCTTCTGGGAGCTGCTTGAGGTAAGCACTGCCTGGAGCCTGCACCCCAAGCCTCTCCCCGCACTCCAACCTCCTACCCCAGCCCTGATCCCCCTCTTACCCTCTGAATCCCTCGGTCCCAGCCCGGAGCACCCTCCTACACCCCAAACTCCTCATCCCCAGCCGGAGCCCTCCCGCACCCTGAACTCTTCATTTCTGGCCCCACCCTGGAGTCTGCACCCCCAACCCCAATTTTGTGAGCATTCATGGCCCACCAAACAATTTCTATTCCAAGATGTGGCCCTTGGTCCAAAAGGTTTTCCCACCCCTGATCTAGATAGTAACTGATGAAGTCGTAGTTGTGAGATCTCATTACAGCACTTGTCTAGTACGTTTTCACTGAGGCTTGGCATGAGGCCACTGGGGTTTTGGTGAGAATGATCACATTTGTGGATTACAGAATTGAGAATTAGTGAGTTTCTACTCAGGGTATTAATAGGATTAAAATTTATCCTGTAGGTGGTTTTAATTTTTTTAAAAATAGGCCAGTAACATTACCAAGTGAAGGTGGTTCCAGGCTTGGACCTAAAGCACTGAAATGTACAACTTGTTCATTTTAAAGTAAAAACATCAGGTTTCTGGAAGGTGGAGGGAAGAAATGGGGACCACTTTGCCTTTTTTGACAGCTTCACAGCTGCAAGAGGAGAAGCCACAAAAGAGCGGAAATAGTTATAAGATGCAAGTGTGGATTAATTACAAACAGTTGCAGAAATGGAGAAAAACATCAGCAATATAATTGGTTGCATATTCAGATTCCAGATAAAGAAGTCCAAAGTCCTTAAAGTTCTGGCTTGTTAAAACTCAAACCATCAAATTCTTAAATAGAGAGTATGATGTGCAGAATCTTAGTAGATAGTACAATCAACCATGTTCTGGGATTCTGTGTACACATCTGCTTTGATTTAATAGACTCTGTGGTATGACCAAGTATGTTTAACATTCCAGAATAATATCTTTGGTTTGATGAACGAATTTCCTGGAAAGATCACATGCAGTTTCCATGTTACCCAACAGAGTTCACAAATCTGTGAAGAACTTCAGCCGTATATCACTGGTACGTACTTTGTTGATGCCTAGAGATGTTAAAGTAATTGATTCAGTGGGAGTTATGACTTTAGTGTTGTTCAGCCTATACTTTTAGAGAGGTTTGATGTACATAATATAATGCTTTACAATATCTAAAAAATTATCATACAAAATGGGTAGGAGCCCAGTGGAGAATGGGAAAATTTGTACATGAGAAACATGATTTAATTTTATGTACTTTTTGGTCCTCTGAATTATCTCAGGAGTGCTTGCACAAGTTCTGTGTTACACTTATGGCTGAATTGCTTCTACTTGCTGTTAATTCTTATTTACATTTCATACCCAGTCCACTTCCCTGTGTGTTCAACACTTATATTTACTTTGCTTAAAGCTGCAATGACAAAGCAGGATAAACCCACGGCCTTTAAGGTGTCCTTGGCATAGAGAGAGAGATCTATTCTCAACGAAATATGGGATATTTTAGTTTTACAGTATTGTGTTACTCTTAATGGTAGTTGAAGAACTAATGTCCTGTAAATTGACACTGTATTTTCTTAAACACTGATCTACGCTTTCAGCTTACTAAGTGGTTTTGGATGCCTCTGTGTGGGTGTGGTTTCCTAACTTGAGCAACCTTAAACAGGCCTGATTTTCAGAGGACCAGTGTCAAAATGCCAGAATCACTACTCCATGTTAGATATTTATACAGTCAAAAGGCAGTGACCTAAAGTTTCTATCTTCATATGAATTTCTGTTCTTAACTACGTATGTTCTCTTTGGTAGAGGGAAGAATATCTGAAAAGGAACTAGAAAAACATGTGTCTAAGGATACTTTATGGTACATCTGTGGTCCACCTCCAATGATAGAATCTATATCCAAACTACTAGAAAACTTTGGTGTTTCTACAGACTGCATTTACTTTGAAAAGTGGTGGTAGCAACAGCTACTTAGCAGAAAATAAAAACTGAAAACTAATCTATGTATTTTGATAGATAAAAAGTGCCTGAAATGCACAGAAGATGGACTCTACTATGACCTCACTGACTGCAAGATTTCACTTTAGGCACATGAAATCTTCTTGTATCTAGTATCAATTCTTAAATTATCCTATAATGCACTCTGATTTGGGTCATTATTGTTTTATTGCTTTTGAAAAAAAGCATAATGTATTTTATATTAAAGACATGAGCCATTTGATTTTTGTATTTCACTCATTTGCTATTGATTGATTTGTGTAGTACTTTTTTTTGTTAATTAGGCAGCTTTTTAAACATTCAAATACTATTTTCATTACAACTATAACTTGCGATTAACTAAATGTGTAAAAATGACCAGATGTAGTCTGTAATGTATTAATTCAGACCCTAATTTTGTAAGCTAAGCAAGGCCAGACTGGGTCACTAGTTGGTGAGGGTCTCATCTCCCAGCTTTGCAGATATTGACAATACCAATATTGGCACAATTCCTAGAGTCCTATTTAGATACCGCAGCCTGATAAGGGTGCTGTTTTCCTGAGACAACTCTTCTTCAAATGAGATTTAAAATAGTTCTTGACCACTTCCAGGTATTAAAGATCTTATAATTATATTCAAAAGACTAGAGCAGTCTCACCTTTTCTTGGGCTAATTCTAAATTACATTCTGCTTACCTAAACTTTCTTTTATTTAATGGGCTAATTTACCCATTCACTTTCTGTTGTACAAGGGAAAAACCCATTTAGAAGGACTTCTGTATGCCACTGCCAACTGTGTTGGTGGTAAGTTAAATGATCATTATACTCTGGTATGAGTATAGTTTGTAATTATGTGAAACGTTTTGAGGCCAACAAAGTGCTAAATAAATTGCATAATACAGTAGAATGTCAGAGTTATGAACTGATCAGTCAACCACACACCTCATTTGGAACCAGAAGAATCAAGCAGCAGTAGAGACAAAAAAGTGCCAAATACAGTACAGTACTGTGTTAAATGTAATTACTAAAAAAAAAACTAAAGGGAAAGCAGCATTTTTCTTCTGTATAGTAAAGTTTTAGAGCTGTATGAAGTCAATGTTCAGGTCTTTTGAAAGACCAACCACAATGTTTTGGTCAGAGTTATGACCATTTCAGAGTTATAACATTTCAGAGTTATGAACAATCTCCGTTCAGGCCCAAGGCGTTCATAACTCTACTGTAGTATGATTTGTTAAGATACTTAAACATGCATGTGATTTGTTTGTTGAAGACTTTTCTCTTTCCTAAGATTGATAATGAGCTTACTGATTTTCTCAGCATCCACGCAGAAGAGAGGATTCCTGATCCGAGGAAGATCACCCCGGAAGGATTCAAATCATCTTAAAGCTTTTTTCACTCTGGGCCTCAAAGACTGAGAAGAAGTCTCACTTACTGCTACTTAAAGCATAGAGTTAATAGGAGCAGTGTAAGCTTACCTTCCAACAGGAGCGATTCCAAATTATAGTGACTCTCATTGACTGACTTAAAGCTCACTTAGACACCTCCCCCTACCAAGCCTGACAGTTGGTGGCTCACCTACACATTTAGGAAGCCTCCTACTTCCAAATTCCATGGGAAGCACAGCTACATATAAACCACTTAGAGCTTAGTGCCATCCACTTGGCATTCAAAGCCTTCCTACCTCCATCCCAGATAGCCACAAGCCAGCTGCTGACAGACAGCGCATTATGTTAGGAGACAGGAAGGACCAGGTTCTCTCTGCTCTGCCAGAAGCCCAGTTGGCTCTGGTCTTGGTGTATTTACCACCAGATCACACCACTGCTCCTGCATCTGCCAGACCCTCAGAACTCACTAGCAGATCACTTCACCAGACAGGTCTCAGACAACACTGAGTGGTTGATCAAGAACCCAGTGCTACAGGGAGTCTTTCACAAACAGAGCTCTAGACCTATTTATTTGCCACAACAAGAAATGCCAAGTGTTCCGCTTGAGCGGGGAGCTCCAATCCAAGCTCACGGTCAGACACTTTTCTCATCCCCTGGATACTGGGACTGAGGTATTCCTGCTCCCCGATCTCCATGATACTTAGGGACTTGAGGAAACTAATGCAAGAGGCAGGGTTGATTATTGAGACATCTGGCCAGCAGTTCTCATATTTCGATCTGATGAACCTCTCAACACATTGCCTCAGTGGTTCTCAACCTTTCCGGACTACTGTACCTCTTTCAGGAGTCTGAGGCAGGGCTGAAGCATGTAACTTAGCTTCATGGGTCCCAGGCAGTTGCCACCCCGTAACACCGGCCCTGCACTTGCAACACCCCTAAACTCATCCCGCAACTTCCCTGGGGGTCACAACCTCCAGGTTGAGAAACACTGATTTAGAGTTAATGTACCCCCGGAAGACCTCTGCATACCCCCAGTACATGTATCCCCGGTTGAGAAACACTTATGTGCTCTGCCTGACAGACCCTACACCCAGACCCAGCTTTTTACATTTGACTGCCTAGATGCTTGGCTGGATGATATCACCCAAAAGAGTCTGTTCACCTAAAGTTCAGAACATTGTGCAGCAAAGCAGGAAACCCTCAGCTGGAATGACTTATAAAGCTAAGTGGAAGAGTTTTCTATGTGAGCATCTCAGCATCCATTTCTTTCACACCAGTTTCAGCACTATTGGCCTATTTGCTATCTCTGAAGCAATCTGGACTTTCTGTAAGCGACAGAAGTGTTCGTTCAATGATAATAGCTGTGCATTACCCTCCTACCCAGTGCCACATATTTTCTCATCCTAAAGGTCCGGATTCTTTAAGGGCTCTATTCATGTTTTTCCTCCAGGCAGAAGCCTCCCCCCCCCTTGAACCTCAATATCATAGTAACAATATTGAGGAGTCCTCAATTTCAGCTATTAGCAACCTATTCCCGTTACCTCTTATTGATGAAAATTGCCTTTTTAGTAGCCATTACATCAATTTTAGGGATAGAGGAGATTCAGGCCTTCATGGCAGGTTCCCCTTATAAGGATCAGGTTACTTTCAGGCCTCAGCCCAAGCTCCTGGCCAAAGTGGTTGCAACGTTCCACATGAACGGCGGATGGAAAATTTGTTACTGATTTCCTTTCTGTGACTGATTTCTCTCCCAGTCCATTACTAGCAGGCTGTAGGGACCAGTAAGGAGAAATAGTAGGATACTACTGTTTACACGGGGATCATCTTATTTCCAAAGGATGCGACACAATAATAAAGAGCTAGCTGGTAGTGTATTGATATGGGGCCATCTAGCAACCTTAGCAATTTCCTGTGTGGTATTTGCTCTTTGGGTTCAGGTTGCTGCCCAAGAGCATTAGGTTTTATATTGTCACCTGTCATTGTAATAACTGGTTCCTGTAGCTCCTATTGCTTTTCCTGGAGCCAAATATGGTTCTCTGATGCACTATTTTATACTTCTGCCAGCACCATGCCTATCTAACAGCACCCACGAATGGGGGTTTCCTACTGCCCCTAACAACAGTGGGGCCCCTGGAAAAATGAACCACACCACCTCCCAGCACTCTGGGAGAAGGGATTAGAACTATTTGCTTTCCATGGGTCAGGGCTGTGGGAAGGCGTCAGGTGTGCGGTTTGCATTTGACAGCCGGCATTCCCACAGACAGCAAATGTAAGTTCAAAGGGGTCCGTGTGGCAGCCTGATATTGCTGTTTTAAAGAAAAAGTGTCTGGTTTGCTCACACCAGAAGTGCAGAGGGAACAAAGCAGTTGTCCACATAAATAAATGTCAGGATCTGTTGTGTTAAAGAGATCAGAACTAGCGTTTCAAGGCTTAGTTTGGAGGGAAGCCATCATCTTCCTGAAAAGTGAGATTCTGTGCCATTGGCCGTGCTAGAGCCCTAAAGAAGAGGCCAGAAACCAGTTTCCAGTGTGCTTTCCATTTCCCAATTAAAAGTCAGTCTTTAAACATGGATTCCCATTGACTCTTAAGCTATTAAACCGGTTTACACTATATCAATAGGGCATATTCTCCTTGTATCACAAATATCATCCCTTTCACACCCTGCTCTCTCAAACATAAACATTAACAGAAAGTTAAACGAAGATGGCCACTTAACAAATGACATTTCATATCCTTTTGCTTTTGTAATTATCACCTCCCCAGCACCTCTGGCATCCCATGTTACATGCAGATTGAGACAGGGAAAAGGACATGTCTTGTTTATTGTAAATGGTTATGTACAGCTGAAGTATTACAAAAATAATTTCAGCAACATGACCATCTGCACTAATAGGCTCAGAACTAACAGATGTAATTCAAAAAATAATCAGATTCATAATACATGTTTTCTTTCCTTGTGACCTTTTAGCCTGTTGGCGAACGCACAGGTTTCCTTTGATTACCCTGAGCACAGAACATCTTAAATTCATACACAACATGGCTGTTCAAATTCTGACCTACCTGGAAAATTTTCTTGTGGTCCAAAAATCCCCATGTAATTGCTACACTAAATTATGTTCTTTAGACTGTGGCAAATTGCCAGCACTACTTTGATGGGTCTTGCGCTTTCTCTTTTTGGGGAGGGTTCAGGGCACCATTTCTTGCCCTCGAACGGGGGTATAAACTGCCCCACTAGTGTCCTAGAGGAGGGGAGTGGAGAGGGAGGGACCTGGGCCCGCTCTCTACTCTGGGTCCCAGCCCAGGGGGCCTTAGGGATAATGGTAAACTGCTTGAACTAGCAGTTCCTTCAAGTCATAGATTCATAGATATTTAGGCCAGAAGGGACCATTATGATCATCTAGTCTGACCTCCTGCACAATGCAGCCACAGAATTTCACCCACCACTCCTAAAAAGACCTCACATCTATATCTGTGCTATTGAAGTCCCCAAACTGTAGTTTGAAGACCTCAAGGAGCAGAGAATCCTCCAGCAAGTGACCCGTGCCCCATGCTACAGAGGAAGGCGAAAAACCTCCAGGCCTTCCAATCTGCCCTGGAGGAAAATTCCTTCCCGACCCCAAATATGGCGATCAGCTAAACCCTGAGCATATGGGCAAGATTCATCAGCCAGATACTACAGAAAATTCCTTCCCGGGTAACTTGGATCTTACCCCATCTAAAAACCCGTCACAGGCCATTGGGCCTATTTACCATGAATATTTAATTACCAAAACCATGTTATCCCATCATACCATCTCCTCCATAAACTTATCGAGTTTAATCTTAAAGCAAGATAGATCTTTTGTCCCCACTACTTCCCT